CCATTATCGACGGTCCAGAACTGCCAGATGGCGGCGCTCACCCGTTACCCGTACACGTTTTGGGCTAAATACGTGCGCCTCAACCTCAAATAAATAATTTTTGGGGTCTTGCTCGCTTATCTCTGTCGGTCCGTAGTCTCCTCTAGTTTGTCATTGTGTTCGTTTGCTTTTCGCGCTGTCTTACTTGTTAGTAGTATTAATAGTCGCGATAGCGTTTAGCTTTATTAGTATTAAGTAGATATAAGTCTTCCTACTAACAGCCACTTGTCACTAACTTCTACACTTAGCTATTCGTGGCGGCAGTCAATTATTATACACTCAGGATTTCTTTTAGACCCTTCGGGGGACTATGACCTTGCAGCCAAACAGAGGGTCTGTAGCCCTATGTATGCCGTTTAGAGGGATCCTACCTTTCTCTACTGTATCTCCTCTCCTCCCTTTTCCCTTACCCTCTTTCTGCCGGCTAAACACTGTGTACGGCCGATATCTTTCTTATATGTATGTATGTATGTATTATCGAATGGCAAAAACCTTAATTTCGAGAGTAGTGATGAGTTTTATTTTTAAAAAAAATTGTAAATGTTAATAACGAATATCATCATTAAGTCCGACCTCTCTCGAGATATGAAACATGACACCCTTCTATTTTCCCACCCCTTTAACCATCAAAATTTAATAGCATCAATGCTCCTTATACACAATCTATCATGCCAAATTTCATTTCTTATAGACCTTAAGATACACATACACCGAATTTTTTTTTTTAGGGTTCAGGAGGTCTTAAAATGTGGAGATTTACAAAAAACTCGAGGGTCAAATTTGGCACGATTCCAATACTTTCCCTTTTTATTTATACTGTATATAACAACCGGGAAAGTAAAATTAGGAATGTTTAGAAATGCATTTAACTTATCTCTACAGAATATTTTATTTTGTATAGAAACGTTCAAATAAAGGGTTTTAATAAAGAAAGAAATGTCTTGTTATTTACTTTCAAAATTAAAAAAAAAAAAAATATTAAGTAGGGTCATTTTGATTCGGGCAGTCTCAGTCAGGGGTTAAAACTCTTCCTTTTTTTTTGCACACTTTTACGCAACGAGTTACAATATACTAGCTCATTGCCTTTACACAATACAAATGGAACGACCTCTTGACTAAAAAGAAAATGGCGGACGTGTATTCGAGTTTCTTTTAACACGGCGTCGCTACAACCACTCTACGAGTGTGTTCGTTTATTCCTCCGCGTAACTCTGCGCCAACGGCATCCGTTTAAAGAGTTCCTGCGTAACTCATTCCTATATTCCTGCCGAATGTGCGCTCCTTCGGATGGAATAAATACTTCTATTATGAATGAAACCATTTTTAAAACACAGTTGTTTAAACTGGTTGAAAATATTAATGATGTACTTTTCAAATCCTATTTATTCATTACTAATACCATAGTAAAAAAATGAGGTTTCTGTGTCACATTCACATCGTTACGATATAAATTTGTTTCCGATGTTCAGATGTATTACTAATTATATTTAAATAGGTTACTAATATTTGCCGATTCCTTTTAATGAATTTAAATGTTATATTTTATTAGAAAACAAAGAAAATATTACAAATGTTTCCATTTGTTTTCTTACGTTAGAAATCCTGCGCAGTTAGTTGGTTGCGTAATCACAGAACCAAGGACGAGGTTCGGATTTACATTCGGAATCTGTAATAGATTGTTGGTTGTATTTCCTCTACAAATAAGTATCATTTGCCTGTGGAAAAAAAAATGAAAAAGGTGGCAGTAATCGGTGCGGGAGCGAGTGGATTAGCAGCTATAAAGACTTGTTTAGAAAACAATTTAGAAGTGGTGTGCTACGAATGGAACACCGACGTCGGAGGAATATGGTGTTACAAAGAGAAGGCAATCGAAGGTATGGGTTCGGTTGCCAAGTCTACGATTATCAATAGCAGCAAGGAATTAATGGCTTACAGCGACTTTCCACCTCCGAGTTCTCTTCCCAATTTTATGCATCATACCGAATTGTTACAGTATTTGAAGCTATACGCAGAATATTTCAACCTGATTCCCTTCGTTAAGTTTCGGCATCGCGTGTTGGAGGTTACACCCTCCACCGATTACGACGAAAGTGGAAAATGGATTGTCGGGGTATTAAACGAAGAAAACGGCAATCGGTTCAACGACGAGGTAAATGCAGTTATGGTATGCACGGGTCATCAAGGATATCCGAATCGAGTTGAATTTCGTGATCAAAACAAATTCTGCGGTAATATTATCCACAGTCACGAATTTAAAGACTTATCGATGTACGAAAATAAAAAAGTTTTAGTGGTGGGATCGGGAAATTCTGCTGCTGACGATGCCGTCGATTTAAGTTACGTTGCTCAAAAGGTATGCATTTTTTTTTTTAATTTAAACTTTGCTTTAATAGAACAGGGAAAACATATCTGTTTTATATCAAAACATTTATTATATCAATGAAAACTTTAGTTAATTTTGTATAAGTTTTATTCTTCTATAACGTTTCTAAATATTTAAAACGCAAGTTCCCATTAAATCCACATAAGTACACGCTTTATAAACTCTAAAAATCCTTTACGAAACACGAAAAAATATATTAAAAAAGTGTTAGATATTTATTTTTTAAGGAGAGGGTTGGCGTGACAAGTGCCAAGAGTTACCCACACACGATTTAAATTTTCTTTTGAATTTACCTTTCTTATATACAATTAGATCTGCGATATTTTAGGTTTAATTATAAAGTAATAACGAGAACAATGAAATAAATAAATAATAAAATATAAATTCCAAATCACAAACACAGTCACTTAACGAGTAACTGAAGTTACGTTTTATTTATAGCCCTTTAAACACTGAAATGAAATAATTATTAACTCAAGTATTATATATTGAATAAAGCTGAAAATGTCTATAGATTTGACCTATAAGAATCAGACTTAGAGAGGATATCCTTGGAGATAAAATATTTTATCTTGTAATTAATTATAATCGTATCCGGTTATAACCTATATAAAGGTCTTCAAATTAAAAATATTATATCCAACTCTCTTCCCGGAAGCAAATTTCAAACAATTTTGACTTAATTTACTTTCTGTTTATGTCTGACCACAACTACATTATTTAACCTTGATAAACTAATGTAGTTGTCTAGGCTATATCTTAGTGCAAATAGGGTGGAGATATTATAGAAAAGGAGGTGAACAAAATCGAAATGATGTTCAATATAAAACTGAATAGACTTAAGATTATACAAGTACTGTACGTGGTTAAATTGATCAAAATTTTGTTTATTTGTTCAAATATATAAGCTTATTCAAGTGTTTTTCGAATCATATACGCTTTTTCCTTAATTTGGCATCAATTTTGCACTTTATTACTACAAGACTGTTATAATAAACGTTTACTTTCTCGGCTAATTACATAACAGAGGGAAAGTATGGCGATCGGTCAAAACAATAGTACGCAGTTCTATTGTTTATACCGATAGCGCGCTGCTTCTATAAACAAGTAATATAAGAACAAGTATAAAAACTGCGTACGCAATGCTGTATAATCTCTCTCTCTCTTTTACGGTGTTTTCGTGCGATACTCTCACAACGGAATAAAGACATACTCGCATTAGTTTCAGTTTGTGAATGTGTCCACCTAAAACCATTGAACACTTTTGAATTTTCTCATTTTGTATTTACTTCATTTACATAGTTGAAAGATGATATAAAGACTGAAAATAACTTTTATATCATATAATTAAAATATATTTTTTAGGACGATTCAAAAACCATCATTAGTGTTATCATAAATATTGATAAGTTGATTATGTCAAGGTGATGAGTCATTCATTCACCACCTTAATGATGATGATGTAATAAATTGCAACTGAAACATTTACAATTTACATTCCTCTGTACTCTTACGTAAACACAATGGATGTTAAGTTTTTATCTTTAATTTTAAGAATTTATAGAGACTTTAATGAACAATCATTTAATAATATATATATATATTTTAATTTTCTCTGCAGACATATTTAAGTACAAGACGAGGATTCTGGATTTTAAGAAGAACGGAGGAATGCGGAAAGCCATACGACTTCGATTTTATCAGCCGTCCATTTGCTGCCATGATTAAATATCTACCATTCAATTTTACTTGTTGGTTTATAGAAAGAAAACTTAATAAATGGTTTAATCACGAAATATATCAACTGACACCTTCTCATAGAGTGCTGAGTCAATTTCCTACAGTCAACGACTTTTTACCAAGTAGGATTTTATCGGGAAGAATCATAATAAAAGGCAATATAGAAAGGTTCACGGAAAATGGTGTCATCTTTGAAAATGGAGAATCTGTAGAAGTGGACGAAGTAATCATGGCTACCGGCTATAATATAAAATACCCATTCTTAAAAAGTATAAGAACTGATAATAATGAAGTAGAGTTATACAAATATATATTTCCACCGGATATGAAGTACCCTACTCTTGGAATAATCGGATGCATAAATGCTCTAGGTGGTTTCTGTCCTGTTGGAGAAATGCAATGCAGGTATTTTATCGAAGTATTAACTAATAAGATAGAATTACCTTCTGTTAAAGAAATGAAAGAAGATATAATAAAGAAAAGGAACGAACTCAAAAAGACATTTTATGAATCGATACGACATACAATAGATGCTCCTCTAATTGAATATTTAGACGAACTGGCGGCTTTAATTGGTATCAAACCTAATTTGTTCAAGCTGCTTTACACTGATCCTATCCTTTTTAAAAAGTTGCTATTAGGGCCAAGTCTTCCGTATCAATATAGATTATACGGATCATATTCGTGGTCGGGTGCCAGAAAAGCAATTTTGTCTATGGAAGAGCGTTATTTGACTCCCTTCAGAACTCGTTACAAAGTTGAAAATAAGAAAAACTTTTGCAGTAGAATTATAATTATTTCCTTGCTTGTGATTTTGTTTTCGATACTGATAAAGTTAATGTTACAGTTGTAAAAGACCAATTATTCGGTCTTTTACCCAGGGGCGGATCTACGTAGGGATTAATAAAGCTTAAGCCCCTGAGCCCCAAGTGTCAAGGGCCCACAAAAATTGAATTACTATAATAAAATTTTAATACTTCATTAACTACTTTTACTATACGATAATTTAAGTTACATTATATTATTATTTGTATTGATAAAAAAAAAGTGCCCTATTGGATGTTAATAAGTCCTAGACCCCGAAAAACGTAGATCCTCCCCTAAATTTTACATGATTTTGGATAGTTGGATACAGTAATACGAAGTATGTGACAACTGTATTATGTTATACTCGCTTTCGTATTTAAATTTAACAGTGGAAATATTTTGTTAAGCTATTAATTAAGCTAGGATCATAAAAATAGAATTTTCTAACTAGATTTCAGTTTATGAAAGCTTGATTAAATAGCCATTATCAATCTTATTGCCAGATGTAATTCGTACTTAAGCTGGCTAGCGTGACCAAAGAATGGTATTTTCGTATGTAATACACGAAATTTTACAATTTTTAACATTAAAAATGTACTCTACTTTAAAAAAATACGGTATAAATTGTAAGATGTGGCCACCGTACTATAATATCCGCGATATTCAAAAACGGAACGTAAAAGGGTGAGTTACATCGAGCGATTAAATAAACAAATCGATGCCTCGTGTTCTTTTAGGCGAATCTCGAGCCTCCGTCCAGTTTCTCCAACGTATGATTTCGCTTGCAAACAATCACATGATACTTTGTAAACCACTCCTGCGACGTCAAGCTGATTTTTTACTATATTTTGACCTCTGGTGTTTTATAATATTAATAATATTCGACATTTTGTTTTCCTGCTTGGCCACTACACGTATAGAAAACTTTTTAAATATGGGGGATATAATATGAATTTCCAATATATGCTAATACATATCCGATAGTGACCGACATGGAAAATGTTATTCAAAAATTACCTGGAAATAATGAGGAAAAGGCGATGTTACGGTCCAATATAAGTAAGGATTTGGAAAAATATAAAAAGGTAAAAATGGTTTTATACTCGATAAAAAAAAAAGCAATAAAAATACAGTCGACTCCCCCTATAACACTGCCGATTTTTCCGTTTTATATGAATTTCATGTTGTACGAGTCACTTATATTTTACAAATACGTGTGCCGGGCTGTGAATGGCTGACGTATTTGTAAAATCTAAGTGACTCGTACAACACGGAATTCATATAAAACGGAAAAATCAACAGTGTTATAGGGGGGGGGTCGACTGTAACTATGAAAACTAAAAGGTTAATAAAATTTTTTGATGATAATAATCTTTCTATACTTAAAGCAGATAAATCGCATCAATTAGTTATATTAACGAGAGAAGAATTAAAGCAAAAGAAAAATGAAATAGCTTTGTCTGACGAATATGATTTAGTTGATTTTAAAAAAACAGTTTTATATACTTTGGAATGCTATTTAAAAAATTTTTTGCAGACAATTGATAGATCAGCACACAGTATAAAGGATACAGATGAACTAATCAATGGATTATTGAAAGGTAAAGTTAAGCAAAATCACTGCCTTATGATTTGATTCGTGTATTGTTATGAAATTGAAGATTATGCGAATAAAATTAAAAACTAATAAAATAGTTTATTTCCTGATTCTGTTCAAATTCACTAGTAAAAAATCAGCTTAACGTCTCAGGAGTGGTTTACAAAGTATCGTGTGATCGTTTGCAAGCGAAATCATACGTTGGAGAAAGTGGACGGAGGCTCGAGATTCGCCTAAAAGAACACGAGGCAGCGATTCGTCTAAAAAAAGACAAGAGTCGCCTTGGTATCGACACTGTAGTAATTATAATTGTAAAATTGATAGAAATTCTGTAAAAATATTATATAAAATAAAAAATTGGTTTAAAAGACGAATGGTAGAGCATTTTTGCATTGTTGAACATGTAAATTTGTTTATATCAGAATGTCGGTCTAAACGTTGATGAATGCTGGGAAAGATTTATTTGTATAAAAAGGAACGAGTTTCTTGTTGTTGGATAATCCACCGATGAGGCTGTAACGGCCAAATGCATTTAGAGAGTTTTTGGAGAAGTTCGAAAATAATAAAAGAAATAATGTTGGCTGAAGTATAGTATCTTTGTTGCTTATTTGTCTGCTGATATAAATTACTCGAAATCGGTTTAAGAAAGAGTACTTATATAAAATAAAAGATTATCTAAAGATAATCTTTTATTTTTAGAAATTTCACCGATCCCATTGTTTTACACTTTTTTTATTGATCAACAATTATTGAATCTTAAAATTTAAATTACGTAATCGAAGAATCATCTCAGAGGACTAGAAGCGAACAGAGCGTTAGACAGTTCGAATTGGAAAATATCTTCAGAATGAGTGAGGAATCCCATAAACAAGAAGATTTTTGTGAAGAAGAGCCCGTTGATCTTCCCAACATCAAGATGATGAAGTCAGATAGAAGTGAGAAGGGAGTTTGTATTTGTATCAAACCAATGAAGGGCGAGAAAAAGAATCGTAGAAGGAAGAAAACTGGAACGAAATCAAAACGCTCCCGCAGTTGCAGACTTAAGAGGAAAAAAAGGACGATTTGTTAAATCCGGTAGTCAAATAGGAATTCGTTGCCACGAGAAGATTTGCCCCAATTGCCGATTTCTTGCAAATCAGCGACCCAACGGCTCTTTTCCTAGCCATGTTTTCTTGGTAAAGAGTAGTTTAATCGCATCGTTTACAATATAATTTAATATAAATTTGAAAATTCTAATAAAAATTTTTCGATATATTATTTTTAAAATGTTCGATTTTTTGTTCCATTTACTTTTTATATAAATTTTTGATAAAAATATTTAAAATCCAAGAATATTCTTCGTATTGATTNAGTCAAATAGGAATTCGTTGCCACGAGAAGATTTGCCCCAATTGCCGATTTCTTGCAAATCAGCGACCCAACGGCTCTTTTCCTAGCCATGTTTTCTTGGTAAAGAGAAGTTTAATCGCATCGTTTACAATATAATTTAATATAAATTTGAAAATTCTAATAAAAATTTTTCGATATATTATTTTTAAAATGTTCGATTTTTTTTTTTTTTTTGGTTCTATTTACTTTTTATATAATTTTTGATAAAAAGATTTAAAAACCAGGAATGTTCTTCGTATTAATTTAATGTTAAATATTTGCAATTTCTAATGTTTTCCGTTGCCGAAAATATTATAAGAATTTCAAATTGATAATGTATTTCCAACGTTATCCTTCCATAAAAAATGGCGAATACGTTTGAAATCAACGTTCTATAATGAAATTCATAAAAAGAATTCTGTTCTGTATATTATCCTCTACGTCACAAATTAATTTACTTTTATTTAATGGAAAGTCAGTGTTAAGATCTTTTTTCGGTTAATAGCTTAGCAGATTGTGACCAGGAGCGGATCTACATAGACACTAATAACACTTAAGCCCTGGCCCCAAGTGTCGAGGGCCCATAAAAATTAACTTATAAATTTTTAATACTTTTTCATTAACAATGAGCAATTATCATATAGAAAAAAATAGTTTATAATATATATATNAAGTAAACGCCGTTATGGTTTGCGTGGGTCATCACGGATATCCGAACAGAATCGAGTTTCAAGATCAAGAGAAATTTTCTGGTAGTATTATCCATAATCACCAATTTAAAGATCCGAAACAATACGAAAATAAAAAAGTTTTAGTAGTGGGAGCAGGAAATTCTGCGGTTGATGCGGCTGTCGATTTGAGTTACGTTGCCGAAAAGGTAAACAATTTTATCTATAAGATTATTATTATTATTAGATAATAATTTATATATATTAAATAATAAATTTAAAATATTTTAAATAAAAATTTATATTAAAAAAGTATTAGAAAAAGGATCAAAATGTTCACTCAACATCACGAAAAAATTCTCAATATAGCTTGGATGCTATCGCTATTCTAATTTAAAATGGAATCGTATAAAATATTCATTATTATAAAATTTTCCTATACTATATATATAATTTAAAAAGTAAAATTATAATGTATAGAATTTAAAGATAATTTAGGAAAAAAAAAAAAAAATCAAGGTAATAAAGGTGTGAAAATTTCCTGTTTACCCGAATGTTTTCAGTTTTGAATTATGATTTAACATAAGTTATTAAAAAATAAATTTATAATAAAAAACTATGTAAGTACTATAATAAATAATGTCACCTTGACAGAGGAACGAGTATTAAAAAAAAAAATTTGTATTTAATTTAAAAGTCCTTGACTCCATTTTTCTTTTCATGCTAAAGAAATTAATATTTTAACCTTTAACTGAACCATCAATTTACTTAATGAACTCGTATATAACGATTAGGTATTTTATAATATTTTAAAAATCGTAATCGAGTATTAATAATTTCATTTCATTTATTAAATAAAGTTATCATTGTTATATTAGTAACAAATACAGTACTTATAATACAGTACAATATGCAATGTTATCAATTAAAATAGGCCTACATGAATACAAGAAAACAATTGCTCTTCTATCAAAAAAAAATTGTTCATACATTTCACTTATAAAAAAATTTATAATTCAACTTCTTTTTGTTTGATGAAAAAAAATGTATTTAAGATAAATAATCCTTCAAAAAGAATAATTTTTCAGCTGTATATCAATGTTTCATTGTTTTCTAAAAATAAATCATGTAATTATTTCTTTTTGGTCTGTAAAATTTTTATTTTGATACTTTATAACAATATAAACGTAAAAATCCAGTAGCGAGTTGCTTAACTTTCCCCGACAACATTTAAAACTGCGTGTGTGGCACCATCTGTTATGATATTTTATTTATTATTAAAATTTTAATATATTTTTAACTATTATAAAATGGCAAAATCTTGAGGGTAGAGATGGGTTTTATAAAAAAAATTGTATATGTTAATAACGAATAAAGACATTAAGTCCTACTCTACTTGAGATATGACACGCGATTCCTTTTATTCCCCTCCCCTCGACCTTTAATAGCATTCTAAGTGTTTTAAAATATAAAAATTAAGCGGTTTTTTAACGCTAATAAATCTCGAAAGGAATAATTAATACTTGATGATGTAAACGACACAGTTTAATTTTAAACTTTTTTATTAAGTAATTCGATTTTCAAAATTCTGAACCATACGCATGATATACAGAAAACAGTTTGTATATATATCGTGGCCTCACTTTAATAAAAGAAATAAATAGGATTCCAATGCAAAAATGTTTGGTTCTATCTGCTTACGTTTTCGAGAATTTCTGGTAAAGGATTTTCCCCTTAGAAAAAGCATTATATTTTAACATCTGCTGGAGATTGCGTGTATAACTAAATAGATTATAATCAGCCTTAAATTAAATGAAACGTTGTTAGTAGGGATGCAGGCATTTTTTTTTATTAAAGAGCGTACAACGCATTAACTTGCCAGCATATCATTAGGATAAATGAGGATTAGATGGTGAACACGTGTAATTAGAAACTATCCATAAATTACGTCCGCATTTTCCTATAAATTTTTACTCCCCTCTCTCTTGTCCCAGTTTGTCCAAGTTTCCCTAAAGAAAACATTAATATCAGCCCAATTACTAACCTCACCAGACTTCGATAGCCCCTTTATATTGGCAACCGATGCATCAAACACTGCAATAGGTGCTGTGTTATCGCAGAAAGATGAACGTGAAGAACTTCCAGTAGCTTACGCGAGCAGATTGCTCAAGCCAGCCGAAAAAAAATTATAGTACCACAGAGAAAGAATGTTTAGCTGTTATATGGTCAATCAAACACTTCAGACCCTATTTATATGGGAAAAAGTTTAAAATAATTACGGATCATAGATCCCTTAGATGGCTCATAAATGTTAGAGATGAAAGTTCGAAACTAAGTCCTTGGAACTTAGCGCTCCAAGAATATCAATTTGAGATCATACACAAATCTGGCAAAACACACAAATGCTGATGCACTGAGCCGCATGCCAGTGACAAAAATAGACGAAATGCAGCCGATCTTTAGTAAAGAACAAGTTTGTAAGGACGCCGATGGGGGGGGGGGAGATTTTTATTCCCTACCGTCGGGATAGCTCTAAGGTCTAAGCGTACGTGGGTGGCGATTTTGAGAGGCAGCAAAAGACAAGTGTTTCACAGAGGAACCGTTTATTCTTGTAGAAAATGCATACATATTTTTAGAAAAAGGTCCTTCGATTCAAAAATTTAAGATGTCTTCGGTCCGGATGACTGAAGGTTTTTTTCCGTGAAGCTGGAGAGGAGCCCCGGGGCGATGGCGTGTTAAAGTTAGGAGTCGAACAGTCACATGATAGCGGCGAGCGGAAGCACCAAGAGAAGAGGACGACGAACACCACAGGTGTAATCGACAGGGGACTTTAGTGGAAGCCCCGTTGTCCTTGGAATCGGTGTTTTTATAAGTTTTTCGAGATCGACTTGTTGCTAATTGGACAGACTTTACATCATCTCTTTCTAATTGGTCTTCCACCCGTCTCCAGGTGTAAATGGAGCTTCGTAAAGTTCGCGGGAAAAGGTCGGCTGGAGATGGTTCATCCAACACCATCTTTTAGACTCTGATCGTGTTTAATTTTTTTACTTTCGTTTTACTTTCTAAACTGCGTCTTAACTTTTAATATTTTAAAAATTTTCTTTTTCTATATCTAAAATTTTGTTTTTCCTTCTACTTTTTATGAGCGCTGACGTCAAAGTCCGGTGTCGCCGATTCGACACTTATATAATTTGTTTTCTTGACGGTTTATTTTTCGGGGGGGGGCTATTTCCGGGGCCTCACGATAATAGTAAGCGAAATACTACTGCACATTGTTCAAGGACTTTACGTACTGGACAAAAAGTGGGTATTGACAAGCATATGATTGTATTTACTGTACTTTCCTTATACCAGAAAGCTCTAAACAAAATCCCGAGCTACTCGTGCCTAAAAAACACGACTGAAAACATTATCTGGATTAAAATTAAGTTTTACAATTATTCTCTATGAAATTTTTTTATCAAAATATAGCTCATAAAATTCGTTTTAATTAACGGTTTTCGATTTGATTTATATTTTGCAGACGTATCTGAGTACAAGACGAGGATTTTGGCTTTGGAAAAGAATAGAAGAATACGGAATTCCATACGATATTAATTTTATAAATCGATCATTATTTACGTTGTTTCGTTATGTCCCATTAAATCTCTCGTGTTGGTATATGGAGAGAAATTTTAATAAGTGGTTTAATCACGAAATGTATCAACTTACACCTTCCCATAGAATTATGAACCAGTTTCCAACGGTCAATGACTTTCTACCGAGCAGAATTCTGTCGGGAAGAATAAAAATTAAAGGAAATATAGAGAAGTTTACAGAGAATGGAGTCATTTTTGAAAATGGAGAATTTATTGAAGTGAACGAAATAATATTAGCTACCGGCTATAAAATCAATTATCCATTTTTAAAAAATATAAAAATTGATAATAACCATATAGAATTATATAAATATATATTCCCACCCGATTTGAAATTCCCCACGTTGGGAATAATTGGTTGTGTATCTGTTATAGGCGGATATCCTGTTATTGGGGAAATACAATGCAGATATTTTACTGACGTGTTAAACAAAAAATTATTATTACCGACCTCGAAAGAAATGAAGGATGATATACTAAAACAGTTTCAAATTCAGAAACAATTATTTTATATTTCGGAAAGACATAATATTAATGTATTTTATATTGATTATTTGGACGAGATAGCTAACTTAATTGGTGTAAAACCGAATATAATGAAACTTTTTTGGACCGATCCTATACTTTTTAAGAAATTATTATTTGGCCCGTGTCTTCCTTATCAATACAGATTACAAGGAACTAATGCTTGGTCTAGAGCAAGGGAAGCAATTTTATCATTTGACCAACGTGTTTTGGTTCCACTTAGGACACGTTATAACGTTAATAATAAGAAAAATTTTAGTAAAAAGAAAATTATAATTCTTTTTACCATTATGTTTTTGTTTTTGGTATTAATAACGTTAAAATTTCGGAATAAAAATCAAAATATTCAAAATATGATTCGATTCGTTTATAATTTTATTTATAGTAAAAGCAAATTAAATTCGTTATAAAATTATAAAACGACTCAAATTATTTTTATAACAAAGTAAAATTTAATTAGATCCGTAAGTTTTTTTTTGGTATCTTCGTCCCAGTGGACATTAATAGGGCCTTTTTACAAGCCCACAATAGGACAGGTGAGGGACAATGCCAGATATATAATTGTAGATTATAAAAATCATTTATTATAAATTAGCGCATAATATACATATATAATTTTTGTTTATGTATGATTTTGTTATCAATACATACTGTACAGTACATGTATTTCTATATACAGTATAATAAAGTTAAAAAAATAAATATAAATTTTTCTATACATTTGTTTTATTGATGCATAAATTGCAAATTTTCTGTACTTCATAAATTCCATAACTTATTCTTTAATAAGACAATTGGGTTGTGTACAATTACTTTATGAACTCGAATCCTCTAAGATAAATAAAAATGATAATTTCGATGTTAATTAGGGGAGAGGGAAAACAATTTCCACTTTCAAATTTTCTGATTATTAAGCTTTTATACTATTAATAGATTTCGCAAATTAATGTTAAATGTTGGGAAGTGTCGCGCTCTTATTTCTCCAATTAGCACTCCCCCCCCCATAACCTTTCTACGTTTTGCGTATGGTTAACTCGCAAATGTTCGTATCAGGCCTCTTCTAACTCGTCATTTTTTGTACGTTTTCCAACAGTTGGAATAGACTATACTACCTTTTGTTACGTTATCCCTTATTACATTAATACCGAACGGTCAGGCACAATGACTAAGAAACACTCGACTCGAGACAAATCCCGCTGCTACGAAAGAACACGTCCGACGTGTTGTTTTCTGCGCGTAAATAGATTTTCGTCCACCTCTACGACTTTCAACCGCTTATTTTTACTACAGGTCGAGAAATTAATGAATTGGCACATACCTCACGCATATAATTATTCCAATCGATTTGTTCCTAGATGTAGTTGTCTTGTATTAAACTCCTATAGAATATAAGGGATCCTTCGAACCAGTTTTGACTTCGCAAACCTTTTTTTTCACGGCACGAACGAATACTCCATCTCCATTTTTGTGCTTCGGAAGTAGTAAAATATAAATTCATTTTGTGACTTCTTGAACAAAGACTTTTGGAATGTAAAACACCTTTAGCTTGGAAAAAACGAATTGCAGTTTCTTCGTCCTTTGGCAATTGCCAAATTGTGAAATCCACACGCACTCGAGAAAGAAAACAACAATTAAAATATGTAGATATGTTGTGCATCGCTTCTCTGGAGAAACGTACGAGTAATTTACATATCCACATGATGTTAAACGATTCATTAATACGCAAAGTAGTTTAGGAATTTAATATAAATTTCAATTTTTTAAATTTATATTTATCTTTATTTAGGACTTTTAATTATAATACATGAAGTATAGTATTTTATGTATAATTTACATCTAGAAAGTGATATTGAACGTTATACAATGAAATAGGCGCAAAATTATGCAAATCAATTTAGGAATTTCATGTATCGTCAATTGTTGGTTTTCTTACCTAGCGACTTTTGTAATTTTAAATCAAATTTAAATAGAAAGGAGTTATTTTTTGTTCAGTATTCTCTATTTAATTAACACTTTAATATTAACTCTACTGTATATTTATTACAAGCACACACCAAGAAAACACTACTTGGACCTTGTTTATTAAGGGTCGCAATCATTTTACTTTTTATTAAACCTTTCGCGGACCCCCCTAACGTCTTCCACGCACCCCCAAATTAATTTTGCCACGGACCCCATCAGCTGTTCCAAGAACCCTCAGGGGTCTGTAGAAACCATTTTGGGAAACATTGTTATCGAGTGAACTAGAATTACACCCAATTACACAACAATTCACCATAGTGATATTCGCGACGAATAAACAACACAATAAAGTGAATTCCTTTATTTACTGTATTACAAAATTCCTTTTTTTATGTTTATATAAGTGAATTTTTATTGAAATATTTTAAAATGTATAATTATAAATAAACAAAAGTAATTTTTAATGTGTACAAAAATAATATACGCGTAAATTGAAAAAAAACGAATAGTAATAAACTGTAATTTATTAGAAAAAAAATCATGTCAATAATTAAAAATATTACTTCATTACTATTACTATTTTAATATTATTTTTATTACATAATATTTAATAATTATACGATTGGATAGCTTGCAAATTTCGCGATGCCACATTGATCGTTCTTATTTCTTGCCATTAAAATGTATCCTTCCATACCCCAATCTTTTCCCCAACTGAAAAAAAATAATTAATTTTAATAATGAAAATTTAAAATAATACATATTAAAAAAACACCAGCATTTATTATTATTAAGCCTACCTATTTTTAACAATCCAATAATCCTTTCCATCCTTTGATCCATATCCTACAACTAGCACTCCATGATTGAAATCTCTGGCTTTACAGTGAGGATCATCATATATACCAGATCTATAAGAAAAAAAAATTATTAAATTATATTTTAAGGTAATATTCATTATTACTTTAAATAGTGATTATATTATAACGAACTTATAATGCATAAATTTGTTATCAGCGTGGATCGCTACTGATATCGGCCCTACTGTTGCTACAGCTTTCTTCAGATCATCTTCATTACCAGATGAAATTTTTACGTAATGTTTGCACGTTGTTCCTATGGTTGAATTCTTGAACCGACAATGTTCATCCTACAAAAGAAAAAAAAATAATTATTATTTATCTTTATTTAACTATTAGAAAATCATTAAGTATTTATTATAAAGTTTTGATTAAGAAGTTGCATATGTCCCCTCTGTCCTCTTGAGTACATAGATTTATACAAATATAGACTTTTAATAAACTTAATATGTTTTGATAATAGAGTTAATTAAAATAGCAGAAGTTTATTTCATTTCTTAAAAGTAATTACTTACTATTCCTTTGTAGGGATATGATTCTTCAGTATCTAAGCCATGGTTTCTCATAACGTAAACAAAGGCGAGAGTCATTAAACCTCCATTACAACCATCGTTTCCTACATAAACAGAAATACAATTTATGTAATCTGATATATATTGTATAATATTAAAAAATGCTATTAATTTTTATTTTTTTAGTTAATTTTATAATTAATTATTAACTTACCTTCAGATCTGGAACAATCTACTAAATTCTGCTCACTTAATGAAGTCAGAGTTCCTGTTTTTCTCTTCGTCTGCCCTTCCAAGGAACCAGTTGCAGAAAAAGCCCAACAAGATCCACATTCTCCCTATATGTTATTAAAAATTTTTAATAATAATCTACTAATATGGTAACTTAAATAACTTTTTAAAATTAGATTTATTAATATTAATTTCTGAAGTTCTCTAGAAATAAATTCTGTGCCATTACACGTCTTACATGATTTAATAAATAATAACTCCTGGAGCCTTTTGCATAAAGGAAGCAATACAGGCTGTAACACGTCCGAAACGTACCGGACAATTAGAGCCTTGGAAAATCACCAATGGTGCACTGGTATCGTAGCTGATAGCTCCCTAAACCATAATGCCGGGAAATTGGACCACTCTGACAAAATTGTACATAGTGAAATTGGTTCGCTCCAGAAGTCTACGCCACACTCCTTTTCTTCTACCATAACCAAAACAATACGCTTCCGACAATGTTCAAGAGTCAGAGGCAGGAATATTAATGGGCATCTGAATTGCAGTCAAGCTTCAGGATATTGTTCTGGCGGAATCATTTGTTCTCGTCACATCCCTCTGTAACTGATGCCGTGTGATATAGTGCAGCCCTCACCATCTGTCATCACGGCCTGAGGTGCTCTGCTGAGCTCCATAGACTGACCTAAGGATAGTCTTCATCTCCCACATTTACCAACAGATCGAACATCATCGATACTTTAACTTATCTTAGTAAAAGTAAAAATATCGTGAGATATATAAAATTCTGTGCCTGAAATTCTTTAGATAATAGGATAGTAGAAGAGCAGTGAGAATATCAAATAATTAGTATAACCGTTAAAAGCGAGAGTGGTGTAAGTCAGTTTTTCCAATACGCTATGTTGTTGCTAACTTTTAATTCCTGAATGCATTATTTACATATTCGTTGTAAATAAACAGGAAATATTTACGTTACTTACCCACTGGTAAAAGCACTTAACTTTAAGTCTAAACTTCTCAATGTTATGTAAAAAGGGACACCCTATTTTCACTTTTAACGGCTCATATATTAACAAAACTTTTCGTTATTATGTAAAATATGCAATAAATAATATGAAAAGTTTATCAATAAGTAGAATTTTGTGACTTACTTGATTTTTGACTTCAGTAACGTAACCTTTCTCTCTCCAATCAATTTCATCCGGAATTTTAATATTGGATGGGGGAATAAAAGTTGAACTGAAATCATCAGAATTGCTAAGTGCTGACTTATTTAATTTGCAGTTAAACCGAACGTGATTCTGTAGGAATTGAACAATTAATTGAAATAAGAATTTTCAATGTAATTTACATTTAAAAAAGTAACAATGGTATGCATATACCAATATAAAAAAATAAAATAAAATTACCATATCTGAGAGATGATTCATTTGAAGCCAGAAGGAATGCATCCCTAAATCAGCTTCTAAATTGTGCCTGTTGATCATATCTAAATTTTGCTCCCAAATCAAACGACGTGCAGCATCTTCCATCCAGTTATAACGTTTATTAAATTGCAACTGTAAAAATAAAATTTTATAATTAATTATTACTAAAAATAACATTATATAAATAATTTTTTACAGTTACTGGTGTTATACATTACTTTATATTTTTTCCAGAAAAAGTCTAATTCAGTTCTAAAAGGAGCAGCAGTAGCAGTTGACAAATAAAATAATATTAAAAACCAATTCATTATCTAAAATTTAGAAATTTTAAAAATTAAATATTATTCTTGAAATTTAGTATAATAGATTCAATATAAAATTATTAAATAAAGAATTAATAAAATATAAAAAGAACAGAGAAAGGAATAATGAAAAAGGTAAACTTACTTTTAAACGTATTATCCAGTATTAAGTACGATCAAATCGAAATTATAAACTGCTTGCAATGACACGAATGAGTTAATATATATTGAAGATTTAATCACGTGAGAGGATGAATAACTTTATTTTTAGTTTTGAAAATGATTTTGTCTTCTAATTACTTTTATTCGAACTTTGTTCTTATTATATATATTAATGTTTTCAACTTTTGTAAAGTTTTAAATACAATAGATAAATTACAGTCATATACCTAATATTAAGTGAGAATTATATACTGTATTTCCTCTATTAGACTCGGAAGAGTGTTGATTTTAAAACGTGCAAATCCCTAAGATTTATTTGAAGTTGCGGAGTCATGCAACAGGAGACGAATGAGTAAAAATTGAAAGAAATACAGTCGACCCCCCATATAACACTGTTGATTATTCCGTTTTATATGAATTCCATGTTGTACGAGTCACTTAGATTTTACAAATAAGTGTGTCGGGCTGTAAACGGCTCACGTATTTGTAAAATCTAAGTAACTCGTACAACATGGAATTCATATAAAACGAAATTATCTACAGTGTTATAGGGAGGGTCTACTGTAAAGTTTTAAATGATGTTTTGATTTTGACTTAATACTTTAATTTTATAAAGATATATATAAATATATAGCCTATATATTTATTTTTATAATACATATTTTTATTANCAGCCACAGACACACACACAAGGTTGTACAAGACCATGGATGAAAGAGGAACCGAAAACGGCTAGCCACGACGACGCGCGTTACGGGACTCCTCGCCGGGTTTACCAACCCAGCTCGGAGTCCCGTAACGCGCTCCGTCGTGGCTAGCCTGAACCCTCAACAGAGAATCCGGTCATAAACTGTAAGACGTCGGGAGTAGCAACGTAAACATCAACGTAAAGATGGAGTTGATGAAATTGTCCATAAGACAAACAATACTTTTCAACAAGTTTCCGATAAAGACGAAGATTGAATAAATTAGTCTCCAAAGCCCTATTATGGTACATTTTAGAATGTATTTAGTCTGTTCGAAAATTTTCAGAAACATATTTTTTGTTCACATTCCTTTGTTTCATACTCTTCGGCAGAGAAGCTTTTTATGCAAGAGAAATGGCCATTATCTTTGCCACTTACTCCCATAGCCATTTTAAAAATCTTTTTGTTTCCTGATGCAAGTTTTAACGTATTTAAAAATTTTTCTTTTATACGTTTATAGAATAATTTGAATTGAATTTAAAGTGTTAACAAGTTCACAAATACTTGTGCGTGTATACCACTTAATTCTTCTCTATTACTAGAATTATCAATTGATAAATATATTGAGATTGAAGCGAAAATAAAGAAAAGCACTGTTTTATGACACATTTTAGCTTGTGTTTTTGTATTTATTATAAAAATTTTTTAACGGTATATATCTAAAGTTTTTCTTAACTCTCTTCTAATGTCTTTTAAAATTCCAACCCGTCGAACAAAAAATTATTCTATTTTTTAAACTGGTTCACATAGAAACTGACAAATCGTTCAAATACACGTTGCTGCCGAAGTTCAAACGTTAAACTTGTACGGCAAGCAGAAGTACACGTTTGACGTTTGAACTCCAAGTAAAACACGTCGCGCACTGACTCATGGGATATTGTTGAAAAATGGCGGAAACGTTTAACAACGACTAATGTTACCAGCGAAGGTAAATAGACAAACGAAACTATTCTAAAGTATTTATAGGATGTTTAATAACACTAAATAATTATTTTTAATTAGTGTCGTGTCTCCTACCGTAGATAGAACGACAGGACTACCTTATACTTTTGTTGAGGGAAGTAGTGGCTTATGTAAATCCGGTTAAAGTCCAGATACGTATACCGTCATGGCGGCTCATCTCTGATTCCAGCAAACAGTGGGGACGCACGTTCTAATCTAACCTAACCTATTCTAATAATTTGGTTGGTAATAATTATGGTAATTTATTAGAATAGGTTAGGTTAGATTAGAACGTGCGTCCCCACTGTTTGCTGGAATCAGAGATGAGCCGCCATGACGGTATACGTATCTGGACTTTAACCGGATTTACATAAGCCACTACTTCCCTCAACAAAAGTATAAGGTAGTCCTGTCGTTCTATCTACGGTAGGAGACACGACACTAATTAAAAATAATTATTTAGTGTTATTAAACATCCTATAAATACTTTAGAATAGTTTCGTTTGTCTATTTACCTTCGCTGGTAACATTAGTCGTTGTTAAACGTTTCCGCCATTTTTCAACAATATCCCATGAGTCAGTGCGCGACGTGTTTTACTTGGAGTTCAAACGTCAAACGTGTACTTCTGCTTGCCGTACAAGTTTAACGTTTGAACTTCGGCAGCAACGTGTATTTGAACGATTTGTCAGTTTCTATGTGAACCAGTTTAAAAAATAGAATAATTTTTTGTTCGACGGGTTGGAATTTTAAAAGACATTAGAAGAGAGTTAAGAAAAACTTTAGATATATACCGTTAAAAAATTTTTATAATAAATACAAAAACACAAGCTAAAATGTGTCATAAAACAGTGCTTTTCTTTATTTTCGCTTCAATCTCAATATATTTATCAATTGATAATTCTAGTAATAGAGAAGAATTAAGTGGTATACACGCACAAGTATTTGTGAACTTGTTAACACTTTAAATNAACACGCAGCAGCACAATCATTCGAGACCACGTCCTCGTCGGGACCAGCAGGAATGGGTTCTGGAAGAACATTAGGATCGCCATCGGACAGAGAAGGTACAGCCGAAGCCATAGTCCTCCTACCTCGAAACGTACAACCCATGTAGAATGTAACTCCAATCTGGGTAGCTATATTAGCATTCGTACCATCGTCGGGCAGGCTGGTTCCCCACCAATTATCATGGGTACCAAACAAGTACACGGGACTACGAAGATTCTTAATACCAGAGAGTTCAGTAAAGAAATGAGAAAACCGAGCACTAGAGCCGATACTATTGAACTCAGAACACTTGTAAAACTGACGCCAAGGAGCAGGAACTTTCCAAACAAAAGAAACCGGACGCTTGGAACACGGAGTCAACTTCTTAGCACCCTGATACTGAGACAACGTACCCGGAGTAACATTCGCTCTAGTCTGATCAGCATCAGCCTTAGAAAGAGTCATCTCTTCCTCAATATCCCAGGTGAAATACATAGGATACTTGTCACCAACATGACTAGTAACTCCCGCAGCAAAGATCGGGGCACCGGCAGTAGGATAGGCTCGCTGAAATCCAAGATACGACAACTCGTGTATCTTAACCGCAAAGTAATTGACCTTTATCCATTGATAGTCGGACAGGTTCCTTTTAAACTGCTTATTATCCTGCCAGAACAAACCAGGGTAGAGAAAGTACTGCCACTTGACGGTATTAGCATAGGTTCCAGCGTCGGGAGTAGCAATCGGCCAATTCAAGCCAAACGTCTTGTAACGCTTGCCAGTAAACCGGACATAGTTCTGCACACCGGATAAAGCTGAACGTCGAACGGGCCAACGTCTCCTAAAAGAACGACGACTTAAACGCCTCTTGTGATGAACACGAACCGCCTTCCGTCTCCGCTTGACTATACGTCGCCTGTATACCATGTTCTAAAGCTCGAATACGATTAGGGACGTCAACTTCAAAATGCTCCTCCTGAACAAGACCAGCTCTTATACAATGAGACAGAAAAAGAGTCTCAAGTTTCCACTGGGTAGTAGGAGTCTTGCCGACATGAAGACCGATGAGATACCGATACCTGACCCAGATCTTGCTTATAGGCTGGGTCCAGTCGAGCTCGGTCTTCCAGGTCTCCCAGTTATCATAGGCAAACTTGATCTGGTTATCACGATATGCCTTGTTCTGGGCAATAATCTTATGAGCCGTGGTAAAATTCTTCTCCACGTACGCCGAAAGAAGAGGAAACTCATGACTACACTCAGTCGCCTTAGAGATGTAGTCACGAACAACCTCAACGTTATCGACAACACGGACGTCAATGCCCTTGCAAACCTCGGATGGAGAAATAAACTTGTAGACTATACGTTTAATACAAGCCTTGAGATTGGACCNAAAACGTCGGCCGCAACCTCTCTAATAACACTTTTTTTTTCTTTTTTGTCGATTAACAAGTACTTATTTATTTGAGTAACAACATATAATAAACGCGAGTGCGATTTTTAAAAAGAATTCCACCAAACAAATTAGCATTTCCAACAAATGGTTAATTATTTATTTTAATTAAAATCATATCCCTGGAAAAACTAATTCCTTCGACTTCTATACGTGATAATGTAACTTATGTTTATATACATATATTTTCCGAAAATATGTTTTGGAAATGTCAACCATTAGTACGCTATCAAGCTTTAGTGCCTTTACCTTAATTATAGTTCTTCCAAGTCATTTTTCACCAAATTGTAAGGGGGAATATTAAAAATGATGTCTGTGAAAACTTTATCCCGATTTTTTCCTTGAAATCGTCATAGCTCTTTGAAATTTCCACAATAAATTTTTCCTCTTTTCGACCTGTTCACGCCCATCTCAGAAAATCATTGCTGATTGGATGCTACTGAGTTTATAGTTTTAACGTATAAGAAAATAGATATTCGTTTGAAGTAATTTCTCATATTTTTGATATCTTTGAGAGACTAAAAAACATGAAAGTTTGCGTAGTCGGTTGTGGAGTGTCGGGTCTTGCAGCAATTAAAACCTGCAAGGAAAGTTCTATTGATGTGGTATGCTACGAGCAAGACAAAAACATTGGTGGAATATGGAAATATAGAGAAGAAACTGTAGAGGGTATACCATCAGTAGCAAAATCTACGATTATTAATGTAAGCAAATCGTTAATTGCTTTCAGCGATTTCCCTCCTCCCAAAGATTTTCCTAACTATATGCACAATAAAATAACATACAAATATTTACAAATGTATGCCGAAGAATTTAGCCTTATTCCTCATGTCAAATTTTATCATAGAGTAGAAAAGATCGTACAATTCGATGATTACGAAACAACAGGAAAATGGACAGTGACTACATTAAATCTACAAAATGGAGAAGAAAATATAGAAATATTTGATGCAGTTATGATTTGTTCGGGACATCATGCATATCCTAACATTGCAAAATTTGAAGGCCAAGATAAATTTCAAGGAAGAATAACTCATACGCACAGTTATAAAAGACCAAATGAATTTGAAGATAAGAAGGTTGTCGTAGTTGGAGTCGGTAATTCTGGTGTGGATGCCGCTGTGGAAACCAGCAATGTAGCTGACAAAGTTTGTTCAATTTTATATACTTTACAACTTTAAAAACTGATAAATATTAAATTATCATTATGTTATACGAAAATTTAGTTAATAAATATTAACTATTCTTAGTTTTATAATAAAATAGATAAGAATTGCCATATTTTAAGTCATAATTTGTAAGTTTCATAAAAATTTAAAAAGTTACTACTGTACTTTTAAGCATTTAATACATTGATAATTTTGCTTTTATTTTGCTTTTAAGAAAGAATTATATATATATATTTTAAGCTTAATAATTTGTACTTTATCTAATTAATATACCGTATAATTTAAATAATAGTAATACAAGTAATGAACGATTTTGTCATTTGTTTTCTTCGATGGTGTCTCGTTTTGTATTCAAATATTTCCAGTTATTTTATGTGGAGTATTAAGTATTGTATTAAGTCTAGTGTATTTTATTAACTTTAAAATACACTAAAGCTAATTAAATAAGGTAAAACCTTCAAAGGTGTACTGTAAATTTGAAGGTTTGTGGTATGTACAGTACTTCATCGAGGAAAACTGACTTGATATTTTGTCATAAAATTTTAATTAGTATCTAATTAGTATTTATTAAATGCAAATAAATATTTAAAGTAACGAGTCTTAAAACAATAAAATCGACTAATTAGTTGGCGACATTGCTTTCCTCGTTTACTAATATAATATTAAAAATATTAAACTAAGATAATTCATTTTTTTTAATTATAATTTGAAATAATCTATATTATGGTGCCCACCAGTGGCTAAGTGAATAAAAACACTGAACATTGGTTGCGAGTTCTTGCCTCATTAATTAATGGGCTGGCCGCGTAGTTTTCCAGGTTTTCTTCACTAGTCTAACACCTAAATAAAGGCCAGTTTCCAATAGAAAAACCTTCCGGCACACCTAGGGCGAAGTGGTTAATTATAGCTTAGAATTACTATACGTTGATATCTGATGATAAAAATCAATCAAATATTAAATTCGGTTTTATTTATTTCATAATTTTAATTGTAATCTTAATTTTTTTTTTAATTGCCAGGTTTATTTGAGTACCCGAAGAGGATGCTGGATTTTACCAAGAGTAGGCTTATACGGAAAACCGAATGATGAATTTCTTCTAACACGTATTTTTGCTATTCTGAAACATTTCGTTCCTTTTAACATACCAGATATAGTGCTGAGACACTATTTAAATATAAGATTTGACCACGGAATGTATCAATTAAAGCCGAAACATGGAGTCTTCCAACAACATCCAACTGCAAATGATGCATTACCCAGTAGAATCTTAAATGGAACAGTTATTATCAAGGGAAACATTCAACGTTTTGAAAGTAATGGGGTAGTTTTTGAAGGTGACAATGAGATCACTGAAGTTGATGAAGTCATTTTGGCAACAGGATACGATATCAAGTTTCCGTTTTTGAATAAAGACATAATTGATACGAAAGATAATCGAATACATCTGTACAAATTAATGTTTCCTTCTCATTTAAAGCACAATACTTTAGCATTCATTGGTTTATTTCAACCTTACGGAGGTGCATTTCCTATTTCTGAAATGCAATGCAGGTGGTTTGTGGAAGTTCTCAAAAAGAATGTATTACTTCCGGATAGAGAAGAAATGGAAAAAGAAATAACAGAAATGATATCGGATAACGATCGTCGTTATTATAATTCAAAACGTCATAGCATTCAGGTGGATTACGTCGAATACTTGGATAATTTAGCAACTAAAATTAAGGTCAAACCAAATTTTTTGCGATTATTCTTTTCTGATCCCAAGTTGTTCTGGGCTCTTCTGATGGGTCCGAGTCTTCCATATCAGTACAGATTACAAGGACCCCATTCCTGGCCACAAGCCCGAAAAGTTATTTTAGAGCATAAAGAAAGATCCACTGCACCGTTGAAAAATAAGATCCAATGAACTTATATAACTTTTATTTTATCAATATATTACCGATTTTTCTGAAGACGTCTTTATTACATAAGAACGAAACTATTGCAACGACACTGACTTTTCAGTAGTCTGCTTTTTTTTCTGAGAAAATCGTCAGGAAATTCAAATTTCTATAATTAAATCATGCAGTTATAAGCGCACATGATAGTGTCACTAATAGTTATTTTCCTATTACAGTATTATTTAAATTTTTTTTTTACAAGATTCTTAATTTGGAATCATTATTTATATGATTTTAACAGTAAATGGCACAACTGGTGATTTCTTAGACATGTAAGATATAAATTTTTGAATTATATAGTAGACGAACTTTCTGCATATCGTTGTTAACTACCGATTTATATGTTGCATTTTTTTTTTCATGGAATGTGAATTTGATTTCGCTATTTCGCTTTACTCAAATCTTATATTGATTTTAAAAATGCTTTTTGAAAGCAATTCAAAATGTTTACAATTTTTATTCTGCATTGTCATATATTAATTATAAACATGAAAAATCAGTTTTAGGAAATCAGCGAATTAAAAAACATAACAGAATTTATCTATCTGTTCTGTAAAAGTATTTCTTTTGGTTTTGAAATTTTTTCTTTTACAGAGATAATAAATAAAATTCTAAAATATGATGATATAGTAAAATTTTATACCAGTTTTATTTTGTAAAAATTCGATTTAATTTATCTCTTTTAATATTTTCAATTACTGAATATCCGATGTTGTTTCAAAACAACGTTTTGTAATAGACATTTATGATGTAACAAACTATGCATATTGCATACTTGTATGCTTTAAAATTTTGANGCGAGTTGTATTTGTGGTTCATTATGCATGGTGTATATGCATGATGCATTAGCAGAAAATCTGTTTGTGGTAAATATACACAACAAAATGTGGAAAACGCATATTTTAAACAACCATTTAAAAATAGAAATACAGTAAACATAAAGTCATCATTAAAGTTTGGAAGTTGAGTGCTCCTCTTTTTAATTACTAATACAGAACTATTTTAAAGTATCACAGGATAGTTACAATCGTTCTGATTTCCCCTTTTATCATTCAAATTGGGTATTCTGTTTATATATCTGAAATTAAATTTGTAATTAATCATTTTTATTAAATATTTTAATACCTTCCTTTAATGTAAAATAAAGACTATTCCATTATTCACAATGATGAGGAAGGAATGTGGTGACTGATGGTTACACGACAGCTTACGGGCTTAAAAAAAGCAAAAAGTTACCAAAGCTAAATTGTAGGAGTTAGTAAATTTTAAGTTAGTATTACTAACGGTAATCAACTGTATTCTTTTATCACGTGAAAAAAGAATTGTTTCATTAATTAATGCAATGTGTCATTCAGCTATTTCTAATATTTGGTCTTTTAAATGTTAAACTTATCATACAGTGCATAAGGCATATCCAAACAAAATAGAAATTAGCAAAAAGATATATTTCGACCATTTCTCTCAATAAATTATAAGAAAATATTAAAATTAAAATCTATAGTGCATATATATAAAATATATTACATTTTATATAATATATTTCCATACATAAAGAAAACAATATATTCAATATTTAACATACCTGTCATTGGTGCTGAAGAAAATGCAAACAAGAAATCAGAATAAGAACAGATTTTGAATGAGCTTCTACTATCAGTGGCATCCATACGTGTGCCAGCATCTGTACGTTTGCCTTGACATGCCTGAAAATGAAATTTAAACAAAATTATCTGTTTTCAACAACAAATTAAAACATTTTAAAACTTATAAATTAAATTTACGCGTGCATAATGTATGCGCGACCGCTACCCCTCTCTCGCAGACACCCCACTACCCAATATTTTAAATATGGACGTAAACCAAAACCTAAATCGTTAGATCATCGTTTATAGCTTACGATATATATGCACGACAAATATTGCCTTTTTTTTTTTTTTTGGTCGTTCCGGTTTTCGTAGACCCCCCATACCGAACCGAATTTAAAGATGTATTCGGATCGAAAAGGAACGAGAATGTATTACTTATTTAGACTTGATGAAATTAATTACCTGAATAAAAAATAATTTAGGTTTTCCAGCTAATTGAGGACAATTATCTGCTTTGAAGTACTTGTAAAGTTTATCTACTGCAAATACATTATCTTTCCCAGCGATAGTATTATCTCGTCCATGAGTTGAAAAGCAACACACAAGAGATGATCTATTTTGATGATCTTCTTTAGCCACTACAAAAATCAATTTTAAAATGTATTTTTAAAATAATTTCCTTAACTATAGGGTAGCTGTATTGTTATTAGTTTAACTCTATAATCGTTTTATATCAGGTATAGTATTTCATACTGCAAACAAATATCCAATGGTTTAACCACGTACATTTAATTATTCAACGTACGCATTTCGGACTGACGTAAATTCTCAACTCCTCTTCAATGCCATATAGTAGAAGAGAAAATTGAATAATAAACTGTACGTAGTTAAACCATTGGATATTTGTTTGCTGTATACTTGATATAAAAGGATTATAGAGTTAAAACTAATAAATTTCCAATGATAATACATTCCACAATCCTTGAGATTTTCACTCAACTTTTTAGGCATTAGCCTACTTCCAGTAAATGAAATACAACCATTATTTCCATGAATTATCATGAAAGTATTGATAATTTCTATATTCGTATTTCGTAAAATTTAATAATTTTAAATATAAATAATATTTAAATTAAATATTAAATCTTATAGAGTTTAAAATTAATAATTATTGTATTATTATTTCCGAAATACCTTCTTTTAATGTTTGCTTGATGTCTTTTGCCTTTAAATCGTAGTAAGGAATAACATCATAATTTAATTTGGTAAAACATTCGCGCAACAATTCTTCATCATTAACTGCAACTAAGATGGAGTNAAATTTTTATTATTTGATCATTTTAGTAAAATATTTTTGTACTTTCTACTTCAATCTTATTGTTAATATAATTAAAGGGTGTGACACATTTAACAAAATCGCAGTTATTTAACAAGTTAAATTATTCTTATTGGAAAAAAAATGTTTATTGGAATTAGTTATATTAGAATAATTTCTATAACATAAATACATTATAAAATTATTTTTATATCTATTTTTCACATAGTAAAATCATAAATGTTTTCAAAACCTTTTAAAAGACAAAATTATGATTTTTTCCCATTGTCTGAAGTATATAAATTGAACAAATATTTGTATTTTTAAGATAATTTTAATGGGGTAAATTTTAGCTTGCTTCACCCTAACCATTAAAAATTAATCTTAATATTAAATTGCATATACTTAATAAATATAGGCCTAATATTAGAAAATAAAACATATTTTAGTCAAAATAATAACGAAATCAATCCAATAACAAGTAAAATAATAAACATGTAGTTAAGAGGAAACGGAATACCAATAATTATTAAACAAAGATCAATGTAATAAGAAAAAAAAATGTTCAAAGAACGTTTGGAGTCGTATTTCAATAACAAAGAAATAGCCTTTATTATCAAAGATTTTTCTATGTAATACATGTATTTGAATATTCAACATTATTATAATGGTATAAAACTGTGTAATTCGTGAAATTAAAAAGTAAACAATTACACCTTTGCTATTATGTAAAAGTTTCATTACAAAAAAAAACGAAAAACATTTAATAAATGCTGAAAATAACTGGCGAAAGTTTACTAAAAAAAAAAAAAACAATTTTTCATAAAATCTACTTAAAATTACAATGTAGTAATTAGGATAAAAACGAATGGAATACCTTTTAAACAAGTAAAATCGTCATTAAGTCTGACTCTACTGGAGATACACACGAACTCCTTTTTCTCCCCACTCCTCAACCTTTAATCACTAAAATTTAATAATACCAATCTCCCTAATACACAAACCTCCCTGCAAAAATTCAAACATTTTCGACAAAAAGCGCAGGAGTTATTAAGCTTCAAAGAGGGTGAAAAAAATCGTGCTCCCCACACACACAAAAATCCATATATAGAAATTACCCCCGAATTTTTATTCATTTCTCGACGTTTCAAGGTGTCCTGAGTCCAAAAATGTAAAAATCTTGGGGAGGGGTCATTTTTGATCGATCGCCACACTTTCCCTAACGAAACTATTCACTGCACAAACGCTATTAATGCCTCGCTGAGAATGAATATAATGGCTAACCTGACATCGGCTCACGTTTTGAGGATCATTGATCTAGTCAACGTTGTTAACTGCATGGAAACTTTTTCTTTTGAATAATTTTACTTCTAAGCAGAGATATAATTTACAACGAGAGAAGAACACCTACTTTACCAATAACAGTCTTGGTTAAGTTTGACAATTATAATAGAGGTTTCCCCAATTTTGCCTATTGCATCTAGATGGAAAGATGCAATCATTCTGTAAACTAATATTGATAGATAAAAGAAATGTCTATATCAAAAGCTGAATAAATACATTTTTTTTTTTTTGTATTCAAAGAGATATAAAAGTATAATACCTGATTATAAAATATCAAGCATTTTCCTTTTTCCTTATAATCCATTTTATAAATATCTTCATCATAATTGGTCATTCTTCTGAAATCTTTTAAAAAAATATCTTTTAAATTTGCTTGTATTTAATACAATGCTATATTAAATAAAAGACAAAATTTATTTTAATATGCTGTAAAATGCATTTATTAGAATCTTTACAAATTTTAATATTTAAAATAAATCACAATATTAAGTTATATAAAATAAAAATCTTCGAAGTATTTAATTCTGTTTAACTATTTAGTTCTGTTACACAGAACTACATAAAATAACAGTATTACTTACAATAATCATCATAACAATATAACTGACAGAAAATACACAATGTTAGTTATATTAATTAATTATAAAAGAATAGTGCTGTTGTATGTCATAGTATTATTTAGCTTTTGTTCCTCAAGTTTTCGTTTCCCAGATAAGAAAATCCGTTAGATACATCGACGTTATCTAACGGAGAATATTAAAAAAAATTAAAAGCTTAAATAATTTTAAAATATAATAAAGAAAGAGTATGGACAAGAGAATAATCCTCGAATTATCAATCTGATAATATAATAAAAATAAAAATAATATAAAGTCTAATACCTAAATGAATAAAAATCCACACCAAAATCCGCCAACAACTGTCTAAATATTAGAAAGGGTTGTTTTTATATACTATCCACACAACCGGAAACAAATTGATCAATGAACTAGAGATTAGTTATATCAATACAGCCAACCTATACATTGCATATAAGTATTTTCAATTAGAAACTATTTAAAATTAATGTAAATTAAAGGATTCTTATGGCTATTTTAATTAAGTAAGAAATTTATTAAAATATAAATTTAAAAAAAATGATATTGAAGATGTTTAAATTGTGAGTGAACTTGTTAACAAAATCTTTATTCTCTCCCGAATCAAATAGTGCAGTGTGAAATTTTGTAACAAATCTGTGATTTATATAAAATAATGGAATCTTGATACAAAAATCTATTGAACATTTCTCATTTATATAAAAGCTTATCATTAAAGGTGGATACATTGAAGAATAGGTGTATAACATATGTTAGTTGACACATCTTTTTAAGAAAAGATATTAAGAAAGGAGCTAGTTACGTTTATTTATTATCTATTCATAAGTATTAATAAATAGACCTAAAAACTTGATAGCAAAAAGTTTAATATTAATAGAAAATTTAAAAAAAAAGTTTTAATAGCATAAATTGATAAAATATATCAATGTATGCTATTAAATTACACGCCGTATACAATTACGTTCTGGAGATTAAGAAAAAACGGACGAACGGACGACAGTAGTAATATATAGGTCTACAATTTTTTTCAAATTGCGGCCCAAATACAATACTGTATATGTGTAAGACAGCCGATCTTTGGTTCACCTTTCTCACCTTTTGATTGGTCCTGTATCCTCTTCCTCGCTTCCCGATTAGTCTCTCCTTTGTCTCTAGGTGAAAAACGAGACCAGGGGACTTATTCTGAGTATTATCGTTAAGCTAACGAATACGATAAAACCAATTTCTATCGGAACCGTGTGATTCGCGTTTAATCAACTGTGAAAATGCTATTCCGAGCCGTACGTTTCGTTTTCGGTTCCGATAGCCACGCGCGATAACTAAGCTTTTGTTATCGATCACTCTCGAACTGCCATTAGGAACATAACAGAAGTGTAAACAGCACGACGTCTTTTGGTGTAAGAACGATTTTACTTCACGAGCAATTAGAGAGAGAGAGTTAATAAACTATATTGTTGTATTGTTTAAAAATAATTACCTTAACTATTTATGAATATTGTATGAATTGCTTTCTTGTTAAAATTGACTATCAGTTACTTTTCGCCATCTTTCTGGATCTTTTTGTGAGCCGACTCCATCGGAATTCAGACGGTCGGCTATTTCTTGCCACAATTTCTGGCCATCTTTTACGGTAAAGAAAGCATATAACTTTCCTGACATTAATTTAGGGTTGTCTTCCATAAAATTAACGAGCGTCTCGAACTGGCGACTCGTAGCTCGCTGGCTTCGTTGCCCTTTCTTCGACATTTTAAAACAAAAACTATTTCACTAGCGCTGATACACGACAATGCTAAAACCTGATCGGATTACGAGAAAAGTTTGATCGGAGATTGTTGATAGAACTATGTCTTGCGCTTATAATTTAGCCCGTTGTATTTACTTTCTGTGATTTTGGAACTTTAACGATCGTCGAATCTTTCCCCCTTTTCGAATTTTTACCCTATATCGCTTGTTCTATTTTCCTGGACTGACTCTGTCATTCATCTTTGTTTTGACAACTACAGTTTTTTTTTTTCTTTCCTCTCTCTTACACAACTAACATAACCTTTGGTCGGACTCGACAATAGCATTTTTGCATCCAATTAATTTGGATGAAAAAAACCTCACATATGTTACACGATACAAGTATAGGCCTATATTTACAAATGTTCAATATTAATCAAATATTCCAAGTCTAATAATACAGTACGGCAACATTTTGAAAATTTAGAACAAAAGCAAATTTATAATTTATTACCTATTCGTTTGACACGAATTCATTCGGTGTTTAAATTTTAACATAAAATGACACACAAAAGAAATTAAATCATTGTCATTAATAAATTAATGTACAGTACAGTTAAACGTAAAATAAAATATGAATTTTTATATATATATTTTTTAAAATTTACGCAGTATTTAGGCCAACTTTTACTTTTAATTCATTGCAAATGATAATTGCTAAAGTAACTAAGCTTCGTCTATGACGTGTCACGGTTTTTCCCCAGATCAAATTTCTTCAGACTAAAAAAAAGTACTTTTTAATTCGGAAAAATTAAATATATCAATTAACAGTAGTCTGAAATGAACTGTATAGTTTATATTGATGTTATATATTATAACCTAAAAACGTCATAAAAATTCTTATTTAATATAGAATATTTTAGAATAAATAAAAATTCCAGCGTACCATTTTATATATCGATACGAGCAGAATAATCAGCGTTGAACATATCTTATGCATCATTAGGAATTAGAATAACATACTGTACCCTACTTATTCTATTATAAATTTATCACAACATGCAGACTTCTACTATTTCATTTTATTTTCTTATAACGAGAAGATTATAATAAATGTAAATAAAACAAAGCAAAAGAGTACATTCTTCCAATAAATTCAACATATAGACCTATAAACTTTTTCTTATTATAACAAAATTACTTCATCAGTATCACAGTAATTATCTCAGCCGAAAACTGATAATAATTTATTTTTTTCACCTTAATAAATTTTATTATCTCTATATTAATTAAATATCTTATCTGTCATAGTGACCGACATACGATACGACGATACAAACTTTCCTATAACTAAACTCAATTTAACTACAAATTGTACTGACTAAAAAATAATAAAAAACTGTCCTAATTTCAGCTGAAAATAGGGCATTATTCAATTAAAATATTTTAATTTTACATATGATTTACTTAAAATATATACGGGCTTATATAAATAGGCTGCTTTAAATCTAAACTTTATACTTCAAAGTTTAATATACAGAATAAAGTATTTAATTTTTATATGTTCAAGAGGAGGAGCCGGGTATTTTCTCTGGACCTGGAGAAAATAGCAGTCCTTAATGGCTTCTATCCATATAAATTATTGGTATTTTTATTAACATAAAATAAAATCTTTCTTTATTAATAGAAAAGTATTCTCAAAGATTCTATTTATTTTATTTTCTCGAAGAAAATAGCAAAAGAGGTCTGCTCTATCCAAGGCCCCGTATAAACTTATAACGATCTCCCTAGACAATTTTTATAGCCTTTGTTTTACACGACACCTGAAATAAATTTCTGAAAACTCTCAACTAACAATAACATTGCTTAAATTATTTCTTTGAAATGATTACTCAATAAATATAATAAATCTTTTGAAACTTATTTTTGATCATTTTAGTAAAATATTTTTGTACTTTCTACTTCAATCTTATTGTTAATATAATTAAAGGGTGTGACACATTTAACAAAATCGCAGTTATTTAACAAGTTAAATTATTCTTATTGGAAAAAAAATGTTTATTGGAATTAGTTATATTAGAATAATTTCTATAACATAAATACATTATAAAATTATTTTTATATCTATTTTTCACATAGTAAAATCATAAATGTTTTCAAAACCTTTTAAAAGACAAAATTATGATTTTTTCCCATTGTCTGAAGTATATAAATTGAACAAATATTTGTATTTTTAAGATAATTTTAATGGGGTAAATTTTAGCTTGCTTCACCCTAACCATTAAAAATTAATCTTAATATTAAATTGCATATACTTAATAAATATAGGCCTAATATTAGAAAATAAAACATATTTTAGTCAAAATAATAACGAAATCAATCCAATAACAAGTAAAATAATAAACATGTAGTTAAGAGGAAACGGAATACCAATAATTATTAAACAAAGATCAATGTAATAAGAAAAAAAAATGTTCAAAGAACGTTTGGAGTCGTATTTCAATAACAAAGAAATAGCCTTTATTATCAAAGATTTTTCTATGTAATACATGTATTTGAATATTCAACATTATTATAATGGTATAAAACTGTGTAATTCGTGAAATTAAAAAGTAAACAATTACACCTTTGCTATTATGTAAAAGTTTCATTACAAAAAAAAACGAAAAACATTTAATAAATGCTGAAAATAACTGGCGAAAGTTTACTAAAAAAAAAAAAAACAATTTTTCATAAAATCTACTTAAAATTACAATGTAGTAATTAGGATAAAAACGAATGGAATACCTTTTAAACAAGTAAAATCGTCATTAAGTCTGACTCTACTGGAGATACACACGAACTCCTTTTTCTCCCCACTCCTCAACCTTTAATCACTAAAATTTAATAATACCAATCTCCCTAATACACAAACCTCCCTGCAAAAATTCAAACATTTTCGACAAAAAGCGCAGGAGTTATTAAGCTTCAAAGAGGGTGAAAAAAATCGTGCTCTCCCATACACACATTAAAATCTATACATACAGAAAAAAAAACCCAATTTTCCGAGTCCAAAAATGTAAAAATCTAAAGTAATTTTTCTTAAATTTATTCTAATTTAAGTATATTAACTTTCTTTAATCCTTTCCCTCTCTCCCCGCGGGAGGAGAGGGAAAGAGGTAATTACCTAGTACACAGTCAATAACATCCCTATTAACCGCAACATACATATATAATGACTAATAATAAAAATAAACACTGATATCAAAATAATATATTGTTTATTCAATAAAAATATAAATATATATATAATTATATATATATATATATATATATTGTGTTTTTAAGAAATAGAAACACTAGACAAGTAAAGGCGAAAATCAAATAATATATCTTTATTATCACTTTAATAACATAAATATTAGTTTATTTAATAAAGATATATATATATTTTAAACTAATATTTTTATACTTTTATTCTAATTTATTTTATTTGTTTTATGGTCATTGAACTGCACATTTTACATTTTATTACTATCAAAATTTTATTATTACAGTCGCTAAAAAGTAATAATATTGATAAATAGTATTATAAATAAGGGAATAAACTCATGCTTGAGAAATTTTATGAGAATTGGATAAATTAAATAAGTCATAATTGAACAATAATATTCAATCTGTGTTATCATATAAAGATAAACCTAAAAATCTCCATAGAAAGATCGATTATACAATTACTATTGCATGGATCTACTTTTCATTTCTTAAATAAATTTAATGAACTAAGTTCCTTGTGATGGATTATTAGCAATATTTCGTGGAGGAGTCTCGATTATTATAATATTTGATTACTGTTATTGTATTATTAATTTTTTTTGTTAATGTAAAGCACTTTTTTACCTCGATTTTGATTATATAAATAAATAAAAATAATCAAAAATGTTTTAAATACATTATTAAATGTAATAAAGTTAATGACATTTTGTAAACGTTCATTAATCTGTAGGCAAAAATAATTACAGTACTGTACTTGTATTAATTCTTTATATTTAACATATCACAGGAATACTTAATTCTAATATAATAAAAATATAGGCCTTTATTACAGTATTTGTTTTTGCACCAAAATTTAATTTTTCTATGTGAAAGATGAACTTTAAAAGGTCGATATGTTGAGTACACAATTACTAGAATTACTCAGTGCAAAATCTGCTTAACATCTTCATTTATTACCGTTAATTCCATTACAATAAATCATTATTTTTATTTAAATTCGATGGCACTTTTTCTGTCTTAAATCGACATTTCTTTCTCAGTTTTCACTGTATAAGATAAAAATAAGTCTGAGTAAGGTGAGATAGAATACAGGCATAAATTTGGGATCTACTCATCTTTGATATTCATTTCAAATTTTTATTAGTAATTGGTAATTTTTTATTAGTAATCACTTTTAAACTTTAGTACAATGTAGCAATAAACGCTAATATTTTGCAACAATAATGGACAAAGATTAACAGTCTCCATTACGTTTCATTGTCTTCCGATAAACAAGGCAAATGAAGCATATTACGACAAGATTGTCATATAAACTGTATTTTAAAGATTAACAATAAACGTAATGTAATCTTATTGTTAATATTTAAATGTCTGATTACAAGTGTAAATACAGTGTTTACACGTGATAAACGTAACCACAAAACTTCGATTAAATAGTTTAACCTTACATTGTTTAATTGATATCTAATCTAAATCGACATTGAATTTCTCGTTAAAAGCTCAATAATTAATTAACTTCCTTCGACTTTGAACCCATTTCCTTATGCTAGAGAGCTTGAACTCCATTGCTTTTACTTACCTTAAATTAATTAAATCGTTCGATCGAATAACTAAGCGATGTTAAATTAATTAACAACGTATTATATAAATATTAAAATAATAAAAACAATAAAAACAACAACAAATTACGCGCTAACATAATCCAAATAATGACAACCTATCCTTTGAATCAACCGGAAATACGTAATTCCGATTTCAAATTTGAACACAAGCACGTGACTCATTCAAGAACCAATCAGCTTGTGAAATAGATTAAATATTTCATACTGTGAGACACGGGAACAAAGCTTCTGTGGTGTTTTAAAGACGTGGGTTGTGTTCTCGGTTCTATTTAAATTAATAGATTCATCTATAAGAGTGAGTATGGTTAATATAATATTGTTTAAGTATCATTTTTATTTTATTATTATAACAAATTCTCGTATTACTTATTTAAATTGATATTATAGTATCACTTTAAATAAGTAATACAAGAATTTATAGTATTTGAAGTGATAATATAATAACATTAATTTATAAAGGTTTATAGGTTTACTTTTGAATATGTAAAGTTTACAGAAATAATTCGAGAATTTATGAATTTTGTTTTTATAATTATTTACGAAAAAATTATTATATGTTATTTTGTCGTTAAATAAACTACCTTTTCTTTGTTTAATGTTAAACACTTTTATATAAATAATATATTTCAAAGTCTAAAAAAAGCAGTTTATCATCTACTTTAATATATCCAATTTTCTATGTTTAACTGTGCTTTTTCATGGTATATCATCTTTAAAAGGGTAAAAGTATTGCATTTTGTGTTAAATATAGTTTAATTATAATATTTTTTATATAATTATTTAAAATATTTTAATATAAAACAAAATTTTTTATTTTTTTTAAAAATTAATTATACACATCTCTGTTTTTAAATATTTTATTTTTAGGATATTATACATTTTGGTTATCAGTAAATTTTTTTTTTTATTGGTGAATCATTGAGATAAGCTAAACTGTTAAAACATTATATAATATGCAAATTAAATCTGTTTTTAAAAAGTTTTTATTGTTATAAAACAGAGAAAGAAATATAGTAAAAACTGGATTCAAAAGTTATGAAATAATATTCTGCGTAACTACAAATAACCTGTTTTCTGGAATAAAATTTGATATATATTAATATATTATTTTGATGCTAATAAAAATCTATATTAATTTAATTAATTAAAATGTATCATTAATTTCATGTGATTCTATTGATGATTTCCTTTTTAATAAGCTTAAACAAACAAAAAGTCTCTTTAAATTAATAGCATTTAATCAATATTCTAAAGTAAATATCTAGTGTTTATGAATACATTTTTCTTCATTCAATTATTTAGAATGTACAGTACTTGTAATGATGATAGATTATAAATCAATCTTTAAGACTATTAAGTAAAATAAAATAATTGTGGAATATTTTTTTCTTATTTCTTTTATATAAGAAAAAAATATTCCACAATTATTTTATTTTATTATAATTTGAAGTTTGGACTATTTACAAAAAGTCAAAATTAACTTTTGAGTCCATCTTTATCCTTATTACACTACCATAGAAGTAACAGTCACAAAAAATTTTCTGCTTTGAAGAACTCTTCTTAAAACACAGGTAAAAATTGGTAAAAAATCCCAATGGTTAAAAAAGATCAAGTGTCAGCCTTTCTCTGTAGGATAAAGATGGACTCAAAAGTTAATTTTGACTTTTTGTAAATAGTCCAAACTTCAAATTATGAAGAAATAAATCCTGAGTAATCACAAAAATTGTATTTTATTTTACTTAATAGTTGTAAAGATTGATTTATAATAAAGAAAAAAAATTAATGAACATTTTTATATAAAGTAATAATATTTGCTAAATTAAAATAAATTTAGTAAATAATCATTTACTTCAATTTTTATTTGAGAAATTATATTGGGAGTTATGTTATATTAATTATAGAATAAAATATTAATTATAAGTGTTAATTAATTTTATTATTTTTACAGATGATTGGAGACGGTGATACAACTGATGCTAGAACTGTTCCGGGGTAAATATTATTATATAAACATATATAACATTTAGTTATAATCGTATTATGCATTATAATAATATTCTAAAATATAAGATTAAATTGGATAAATTAACAGAATAGTTAGTTTTTATACATAACTGTTATTTATATATGAAATAATATTTAAAAGAAAAATGTATGTGTAATGTATACAAATAAAAATTTTATTCACATGCATAATACATATTATACAAATTAACGTCAAATTTGTTGTTTCCAATTGTTCTTAACAATTTTTAGTTTTTTTTTACAAGTTGAGAATGAGAAAGTTTCAAAATAAGAGAAAAGATTATTATTTGAAATTTCAAAAACAATTAATGAAGCCATTAGTGTTTTTGAAACTTTTTTGAAGTTTCAAATTGAAAAATGTTTTATAATGTATTTGTTTATAGTTTTTAAAGCAATTCTTGTTCTTTTTAAATTATATTCTTAATCATCTTAATTATAAAATTCTTTTAAAGTTTTTTATTTAATATTAACTGATTAAATTAATTTTTTAAAATAAATTTTTAAAAAAATTGAATTATTATATAGCTAACACTCAAAATAAGAATTTGTGCTTTTAAAAAGTATTAACTTTATAAAGTTTGTTTTTCAAATTTTATTTTTATTACTGTTGAAGTTTTCTAATGCTCTAAAAATAATAGATGATTTTTGAAACAATTTTATTTTGGAACATTTTCAAGGCTTAAAATTGTGATGATAAATCTACAATGTTCAAAAAGTATTTAAAAAAAATTAAAAGCCCAATTTACATTTTTCAATATGTATTTATATAGTCATTATGATATTGAACTCTTTTTGAATGATTCTGTAAAATTAATGCAAATATGAAATAGTGTGTTAATGATGTAATACTTTCATACTTCTTTCATATATATAAAAAATATAATATAATATACACAGTATGTACTGTTTCCCCTTGACTTAAATTTTGATTGAGATGACAAATTTTAAGATGTATTGAGTATAATTAATTTTGGTGTGTATGTGTGTGATTAATAAAAATAATTGCATATCTGTTGTAATAGAAAGATAATTTAATTCAGAAAATTCTTTTCACATGATGTCATCTATTGATCTGAATAATACCATAATTCAAAATACCTAATGACTTTTTTTTCCTCCTATTTTTTTATTAGTGAAATAATGCAGTATTCCTTCATAAATTATTGTTTTAGCAATTAATACAAATTTTTGTAATAAATGTATTCATTATAAATTATAAAAATAGATTTTAGGTGATAATGCTAGATTTTGCATAATTTTTTTAATTTTCTTTTTTTTTTCCATTTAAAAATATCCTTATTTAGTAAATGAATTTTAAATAAATGCAAAATTAAATGTAATATCTGTAAGTATACATTATACAGGATATCCACAAAATAAGTATACAACTTCAATATATATAGTAAAAACTTATTTTGATTATCAAAAGATTCATCAAAAGATCCATCAAGTATTAGTACCATCTACCATGCAAGTTAAAAAAAAACTGAGTGTTTCATAGAAGGAAAAACATTGTTGAATGTGAAAAGAAACAAAAATGGTTAAGCCACAAGAAAAAGCAGCCTGTGTTTTTTGTTTACAGAATCAAAATCATTAATGATAGTTCAACATAAGTTCCAAAATAGAATACAAGATATTATGTATAGGAACAAGATAGCATCACTTATTGAACTCGGAAAACACATTAGTGAAGCCTTTGTCTTGGTTACACTGGACATTCTTTGAAATACTTGGATTGAATTGGACTTTCGTTTTAATATCCTGCAAGCAACCAAGGGAGCACGTGTAGAGATTTATTGACACTTATTAAACTTTCACATGTACTAAGTTCTTTAACATTATAGGCTAAATGAGTTGTTATTTCATGTTTTATTTTTGATAAAAGAATATGAAAGTTGTATACTTATTTTGTGGACCAGTATATGTTAAAATCATATAGATCACATTTTTTCAATATATTTTATTCATATAATATATCTTTTGGTGATGTTTTTTCTTGTATAAAATATTTTTATGTATTATGTTAAACCTTCAATATTTCAATTGTTTGACTTTAAGGCAGTTATTCCTGCACTGCTACATCATTTAAATTACATGACGTTTTGTAATGAGTTTTTTCTTATCTTTCAAACTTATAGTTTGCAAAGTTTATCAATCTACTAATTTAAAATTGATGAGTAATTCTAAATAATTACTTTTTTGTCTTGCAGATTACTTAACATTGCAAACAATAAAGTTATTTCTTATTCAAATAGATTCACGACTTAGATATGTTTAATGCTTTAAATGATTTGAATAATGATTTTTTTTTAAAACTTCTTTTTAAACAAAATAATTTATAAGGATATTTAAAAATATTATGCAATTGACTTATTCAGATTATCTTTTAAAGCTGAATGATACTGAAAGTCTAGTGAGGTGGAAAGACATATGTTACTTATTAAGTAAATGTTAGTAATAGTTTGACTTTTGACTTTTATTATGAAGAAATAATAAAAAAATTTTACTTTAATTTTATAGAAAATAGCAATGTAAGTTCATTATTAAAAATTCACAAATATTAGACTATTTAATTGTAAAAAATTAAGAAATTTATATCTTTAATAAAATTTATAGAAACTAAAGTTAGATAAATAAATTTAATATATCATTAGAAAATAGTAGCTTCTCAGAAATTCAACATTACACTGTGAAGGTTTATTTTAGATTTATAACTAATTTAAAACTCCTTCAATGAGTTGCGTAACTTTCCCAACAAAATCTAAAATTGCATGTGGCAACATCAGTTATGATATTTTATTAAAAACTTTTTAATTATTATATACAAGCAAAAAGCTTAATTTTCAAGATAGAGAAAAATTTCATACAACATTTGTAAATGATGATAATTAAAATCTTTAAGTCTGACCCCACTTTAGATGTGACATGAGATCCCCTCTATCTCCCCATCCCTTGACCACCAAAACTTAATAGCATCAATCCCCTTAATACACAAACCTCCCTTGAAAAATTTCAAAAATTTTCAACAAAAAAGAGTTAAGCTTCAAAGTAGGTGAACAAAATTATGCCCACCCCACATAAAACCCTGAAATTTTTTTGAATTTCTCAGTTTCAAGATCCTGAGTCCAAAAATGTAAAAATCTTGAAGAGTTTTTTTTTTGACTGATTGTCATACTTTCTCTGTTTCATATATATAACAGCCAGGAAGTAAAATTACAAAAATTTATATGAATTTAAATAGTAAATATAGTATTTTATTTTAAAAAATTTTGATTTTTAGAGTACTGTATATAAATATCTTGAAGTATTAATACTTCAATACATTTTTAATGAAACATTCTACTTCATTACAAATTCTATTTGAATATTACCAAAAAAATCTCTTATCAAAATTTTTTTTGTCTGAATTTAAATGTTTCCTATAAAGATGCATTTGAAGTATTGAAGTACATCAAAAATATTCTACGGTAAAATTATTTTTGTGATTTTGTGTTTATATTCTGTATCTAGCAAGCTTATACTTTTTATTAAAGCTTTTATATGATATAATTAGTTTCCTAAACAAATGTGAAGTAACTCATTCTGTACTTGCCATTTATTATTAAATTATTCATGAAAATAAGTTAAAATTTACGTAATCTGATACCTTTTTATAAATTGCAATCATATCATTTGATTTGAGAATTTTAATATCTTTTATTATATAAAATGTTTGTTATAATTATTCACAAATTATTTACTTTATAGTAATTTATAACATAATTCTAATTATATATTGCTGTTTTCAAACTTTAATAAACCAAATATATCTTTTTCCAGTCATGCTGATCCTGGTGCTCATATTGGAGCCATGTCAACAACTAAAGAAAGTGAAGATTATAACATGAATCATCCACGGCGTGGAAAGTGTATTATATTTAATAATAAAGTAAGCAGTGTTTTTAATAATTTTTGAATTTATTTTAAAGGAAATATCAAAATAAAATTTTTATATTTTAAGATTTTTTACTAATTTACAAGAATAAACTTCATTTGCATAAATCATTTTACAGGTTTATTGAAAATATCAAATTTTTGAAAATTTGCTTTATTTTTCATGACTTTATAGAATCAGGATTTTTTTCTTTTTTTAATAGCAGCAATATATGCATGTTATTTTTGTTTCTTTTAGAAATTTGATGCCCATACAAAATTGAACGAAAGAAGAGGTACAGAAATTGATGCCCAAAAACTATTTCATCGTTTCAGAGAATTGGACTTTGACGTTACAATTCATCATGATGCTCCTGTCAAAGAAATGTTAAAAATTTTAGATGATGGTAATTTTGTTTTATCATTGGAGATTATTTATGATTCTTGTTGAAAAAATTAATCATATCAAATTTGTTGGATGAGATATGTCTTAATTATTAAATCTCATTAAACATTTATGATTTTTACTGCATAGGTTTAATAAGACATTTGTATACAGGATGATCAAAAAGTTTCCATTTGATGGTGCTGCAGTGATATGTATGATATGTACTGTGTCCAGTGTGAGCCAATATGAAGTTGGTGATCTAGCAGTGCAAGTAGTAAAGTATTTGTTACACTCAGAGTTGTGTAGTATGTGTAGTACCCATGTTGATGGCATCATTGCTACTAAGTATCTCTAATTTAGATTGTGCTGTCTTGTTCTTAGCTGCAGAAGAACATACACTTGGTGGACATTCATTGCAGAACGGTGAAGATGTATGGAGACATGCTTGTCCAAAGCCACTTTTGTGGAATGGTGTGTGTGAAGTTCTGTGAAGGTTAGAATAAAATGCACTCTCTCGTCAACATTGTCATCAAACAGAAGTTGGACATCCCTGGAGCATCCATTGTAAAGTTCAAAACTCTGATTTTTCACATCTTCAGTTCCCTGAAAAAGTCTCTAAAAGGACTGATCATTCCAGTCAGATGATGTGAAGAGGGGTTGTATTGGACTTTTTTTTATGCAGCAGCTAATAAACTTTTACCAGACAGGCATTGTTAACTTGGTTTGTCAATGGGACAGTTTCCTTAATGCCAGTGGCAATTTCTTCTAAATGAACTTACTAGGCACTATAGCCCTCAAATAGAAATTTTTTGATCATCCCTTATTTTAACCAAAACTTGTATGTAAATCTCTCATGTATGTAATTATTCAAATTTATCACAAAGAACAATAGCATAAAAACTACTAGTTAAATTTTGTAAAAAATATGTCTTGTGTATTTTGATTTGATTTCTTGTTTTAAACTTAGTCTCAAATTCTAAAATACAATTTTATAAAGAAAATGCAAATATTATTCTTTAATTAAGGTTTGTTCTTTCAATTATTAATTTAATTTTAACAAATATTGATTTCAGTACTTTTTTGGTTGATTGTGTCAGATATCATTTCTTTGGGTAATTAATTTTCTATTTTAAGTGGCTCTTACAAGATTAGTCAAGTATCATGCTATTTAACATGTAATTACTATTATTATTATTGCAATCAAAGCAAAAATTGAAAAATTAATAACATCAACAAATGCAAAGTGCAGATTATTCAAAGAATTTGAACAAACTGTTGATCATATTCTTAGCTGCTGTGCAAAAATCACACAACTTGACTGTAAGCAATACCAAAATACAGTTGAAAATAATCCTTTTGGAACATCTGCCAAAATTATCTTGTACTGACTACAAAAAACTGGCGTGATCATAACAAAAAAGTTATAAAAAATAAAAAACTGCAGATCCTGTGGGACCTCTGAAAACAAAAGTTCTAGCACATAATGCATCAGATAAAACTGGTTGAAAAAGTGCAATCATCAACATCACCATGCCAGGAGACTCCAGAATTAAAGAAGAAAAAAAGATTGTAAAATACCAAGATCTAAAAATAGGAAGTCAAAGGTTATGGCACAAATCAGAAGTTGTGGTACCCAATGGGCATTAGCACACTGGGTGCTGTTCCAAAACACTTGGCAAAATCACAAAGTGCTATTGTAATTTTCATGTCTTCTATCAGCCAACTACAAAAGAACATGCTGCTCAGTTCTATGCATATTTTATGCTAATATATTACTACATCTTAGATTCTTAGGAAGAATCCAATGAGTAAAAAGGCCAACATCAGCAATACATCTGGCAGTTGAGAAACATAACAGCAACAATAATAATCCTGAAAAGTATTTCTAATTTTTTTTGTAATTACTTCAATTGAATTAAAAATTAACAGCATAAAAGCAATTTCATATAAAACACATCTTGTCTATTAAAAATTGCTATCTGTATTTTGTTATCTTGATTTAATTGTACTGTACTTGTATAAACATTATAAAATCTTAAAGTTAGTTTGATTATTTTCTGAAAATAATCTTATTAAGTATTGAAAAATTGAAATTTATATTTTTATTGCAGCTGGAAAAGAAGACCATTCAGACTGTGATTGCTTTGTTTGTTGCATTTTGACTCATGGAGATCAAAATGTACTGTTTGGAAGGGATGGCAGGTTTGCAACAGATAATATTTATGCACCTTTTAAAGGTGATGTATGCACATCATTAGCTGGAAAACCTAAATTATTTTTCATCCAGGTAAACTAAATTTCATTACTTTCCTTTTAACTGAAAATTGTATTTTATGAGTGAAATAAAATTTTTTAAATACAAAATTTCAGTAAAAATACACAATGATTATGTGAGGTCAGCTGGGGTATAGACTATAGTTGTGATTCATATACCACTTACTCGGCGACTAGTTGTTTAACCAGTCCTTGGTTGTCAGAAAGGGATGGCTTCTTAAATTTGTTCTTAGGAATAATGAGTGTTGAGGGACTTATATAAATAGATGTAAAGATGTAGAGACGGTGATTGTAAGATCCTGTCTCCAGTCAGGACTTCCTGACACCAGTTAAGGAAATTTATAATATGTGCCCTAACTGGCATTTACCTTTATTTAGAAATATCTGTGACATTCGAGTGACAACGTCCGGGAAAAACTAAGGGGTCAACTGTTGAGTGAGTTGGAGTGCATAATGAATAAGATTGTTTATATAACAATAAATTTAATTTAACTAAATTATAAGAATGAATACAAAGTAAAATACACAATTGAATAAAAATACATTAAGTGGAGTTACCAATATTACATTTGGGACTTATCCCATAGGGAGATCAAACTATCTGACTTAAATCTAAATTTAACCTAATTGTGCAAAATCTAACACTTATGCACAGAGAAAGAGTTCATCTATAAATCCATACTACCTTCAAGAGAGGAAATTCAAAGTTATAAGACACCTATATCTTCTAAGACTGTTTACTTCATATGGCGAATTCAACTTAATCACCCACGATCTGCATAATTTCAAATAACACTTTTTATATGGCCAATTCGGGCATCATCTTAATCGTTGTCAAACTGCCAGGAGTGGTGGGAAAATGTTCCTTTTATATGAGTTGACAGCCTAACAGACGGCCAAGTCTTGTGTGCAGCCGCGTCTGACTCAACTTCCAAGTTGGCCGTAGGAAAGGAAGTTTACTTCCTTTCATAAACACAAATATCAACATTCCTTGTGTGAATTAAACTATTATTTTTCTATTTGAGATTAAAACATTATTTTTCACAAATAATTTCTTTAGAACAATCCCTCTCTATCAGGATTCTCACAATTAGAAAACTTGGAAAATAATTTTTAGAATTATTGAATCTGATTTTGTTAGTTAGCCTGTTGGCTAAAACATTATTAACTACAGGACTCAAAATGTAGTGTTATAAATAAGCTTAAGTTGATAAAATTTTACTTTTTTTAACTTTTTTGAATGCTTATATTTTATATAAAATAATAAAATCAAATTGAAGAATTTTAGTGTCTTTTTGTAACATTTGTATTATTCTAAAATTGTTTTTAAAAATAAATTTAGTTCATTATCCTTAAACTTCTAGTTATTATTAAACACTAATATATTTTCTTAAATGTGTTTATAAACACATGTTATTTAGCTCAAGTAATTATGATTTGTGTAAAAGAGTTTTTTTTATTTTTTAAAAGTAAATTATATGTAATGTTAATATAGTAGGAATAGGGTTCCCAACTCTTCTGGCTTGGCAGGATTGAACAGGAACTGTCTTGTCTTGGAAAAAATTTTTTCTTACATCAGCACAACAGAAATCCTGGATTAAAAATTTTTTGAGACTAGTAACATGTTTGGGAATAGATTTTTCCATACCAGACCTTCCAAAAAATGAATTGTATGTGGTAGGCATTTTTATGGATCATATTTGTTAGTACAATATGAGAATGCTGATTGGTCACTTAATATAGTGGAAATTTCAGAGTGCAATGCTTTCTGAGCATTTAAAGATATTCAAGATATTCTTATCTTTAGTCATTGTTGAAATGATCATGAAAGTTATGAAACTATGTAGGCCTAATAAGATAGAAATTTCAGTTAGGTTTAAATAATAAATGGGAAGTGGATCTTATTTCTTAGCTGTAAGTTGTAATAATTGAAACAAAAAAACATAATGGAAATCTATATGCAAATATAATGTATGTTTTGTATGCATTGTGTTTTTGTAATTTATATCCTAATTGTTGTATGTCATTGGTTATATGCACATTTGTTTCATATTAATGTCAAAAATACCCAAAATTGGGAAAATATTTTAATTATTTATAAATTCAAAATCTTCATTATCCCAGCAATTTTTATTTGAACTTAAAGATTTTTGGTAGTGATGTAACAAATATTCGGTTACTATTTGGTATTCGGCTGAATACCGAATATTTAATAACTATTCGACCGAATACCTAAAAACAGGACTAAGAATTAACAAAAACACAGTAAATTAATCATTTTGGTATTTATATTTAATGTTGTTGGGTTAGTGTTGTTTGTTTATATTTATTTATAACTTATAACACGCACAAAATAAAAAAAATAAAAATATTAGTCACATGTATTCACAATTTATAATTATAAAGATCAGCACACGTACACACCTATTCNTTTGGTATTTAGATTTAATGTTGTTGGGTTAGTGTTGTTTGTTTATATTTATTTATAACTTATAACACGCACAAAATAAAAAAAATAAAAATATTAGTCACATGTATTCACAATTTATAATTATAAAGATCAGCACACGTACACACCTATTCGTTAGAGAATCGTCGCACACATGTGAGGGTCTGACCATGCCTATCCTTTTTAAGTGCTCGTCTTTGCTCTTTCCTTTCTTTTTCCTCCATCTCTCTAGTCCACGTATGCCTGCCTATGCATACATCATAATACGTGCTCATGATACTTTTGATTCGTCACTTTTCCGTCATAGTTTTTCCATTTTATAATTACGTGACTCATAGCCTGGTGATAACGGAGAAAAGAGACAGCTAGGACGTCAGTATATGTCAGTTACGATTTCACAGATTTGAGACAGCTTGGTAGCCCAAATGGTCCCAGGCTTTCACCCATGCACGCTAAGTGACTTTCATTACAAGTATTTAGCTTTCTGAAGTCTATGACAACAATTGTTTGGCATTGACGGCCGCAAATTTTGTGCCAATAAGCTGCTTTGACTTGTTTGATTATGTTATCAACTCAATTTCATATTTATTTTCAAATTTTCACTTTGCAGTTCTTCTCTGTTCTTTTTCTATTATTTACATGTGTAGGTCATTTCATTGTTATTCACATTTGATGTCATCATTTATCGCATACTGCCATGACTCTCGTCTGTCCACTACAACTGTCAAGAATTAACACGATTGGCAAAGCGTAGTGACAGTGGGCCAATAGAGAGCAGGGTCTTTGCCATAATGAGGTTTGTGCACCAATTTTCTTACATGCATTAATCAAGCTGAATAGTTTGGCCAAATACCGAATATTTGGCCAAATATACTATTCATTGCAACACTAATTTTTGGCCTTTAAAGAAGGCCGAAAAGGTTCATAGGTTGGAATTTGTAAGTGATTGGTTTCCTTATTAATAGTTTAAAGAATTTAAATCTTAACAATAGTTATAATAATCTTCTTCAAAATGAAGCTATACTAAATTTTCATAATCATAAAATTCATAGAGAAATAAATTGATAATACAGAAAAGATAGATTAGATGACCAAGGGGTTAACTGCTTTCATGGGAAATGTTTTGAATGGAAATACCACGACTTCTTGTTTGCATCAGAAGTTCGTATATAGTTAATTGGGGCCTCTTGCCCTTAAGGTTTCCATATCTGGTCTCGTCTTTCATCTAACTAACTCAATTCTCAAGATTAAGGAAAGACAATCAGACAGACTGATGACAGTAGGAATTTATAGGTCTACAATTTTTTCAAATTTCAGCCCAATTAGTGAAACAAGTAACATCATTAGTTCTTTGCTGGAATTAACTGGAAAAATGATACCATGCTAACCTAAATCAAGTTGCATTCTGTACAAACATCATATTAATCTCTATATTTATCTTAAATAAATTAACCAGGAATTTGTTTTTCCTGGTTGATTTGAGATAAGTTTACCTCAATTTTTGTCATCTAAATATGGTATTATGGTGAGAAAAATTGAGATTTTCTCATCTCAAATTCTCTCAATTTCAACCAATTAAAAGAATAATATCAAAACAAAATTACTAGATGGTGATTTTTTTTTTAAATGTTAATAGGGCGTTAGTATTGTTCCTTCGACTTAATGTCCTGTTAAAATCAACAGGGTTACAACTAAATGGTACAATTACTCACTCCAACGAATTTGTTTCTAAAGTTACCGCTTAATCCAGGAAAATTATATTTTACTAACTTAACTTCCCGATATATAATTAGTAAATTACAAATTAAAATATTCATTAGACAACTGATTTTATTGTAACAGAAATATTTATTTAGTAAAGTCAAAGCCGGGTTTACGTATAAGCTAACAGAGAGAGGCCCTAAGCAGTAGCTTGTTTAATTACTGCTTAGAGCCTCATGCAACGAAGGGACTCTCTGTTCTCGAAGACAGTTAATACGTATTTCCCATTTTTATTTGATGAAGGGGGAGGCCTCTTGTATGTTGTAAGCATAGGGCTGCAAGTGTAAATTAGACTCTGAGTAAAATACGATTACATTACGCAGTGAATAAGTTTCTGACGAATAATACAGTAATAAACACTAAATTTATATTAAAAAAATAAATTATTGGCGAAATATTTAAAAACAATTTTAAATATTTTCTTATGGTAGAGGAACATTTAGGTCTATATAAATTATATAGTACAAATACAAATATTCTGAATATGTATTTCATGATTGTAATTTGGGATATCGTAAAAATCAAATATAAAATATTTGATAATAAAAGTATATAATAAAATCGCTTATCAGGAAAAATGGCTGATAGGATTATATATGATTGTTAATAATTTACAAACACATTTTCATAAATAAATTATTAATAAATAAATATTGATATCACATTTCTCTCTTTAGAAGTGGATCATTTAAGGATTAAAGCAGGAGTGTCCAACCTTTTTGTTTTTCTGGGCCGCATTGGAAGAAGTCAAGGAGTTTTGGGCCACAAGTATATATAATATATACTTGTGGCCCAATATACAAGTATATTTAAAAATTAACATGTCTAGATTATAATAATAAGTATTAAAACTTTATCAAGAAAAAAGGATATTTTAAAAAATTNTTGTCATAATTTTTAAATTAGTCTTTTTATACTTTTAACATTGTTTTAAGATTGATTTTTCCTGCAGAAATTAAAAAAATTAATAGATATATAATTTTCTGTTTTCTTTTAGGCTTGTCAAGGTGATAGATTGGATCATGGAGTTTTACTTGCAGACAGTTTAGATACAACTGATGGAATTAGCCAAGTTTATAAAATTCCTGCTCATGCAGATTTTCTAATAGCTTATTCAACAATTCCAGGTAAAGAATTTTGATGAATTTATGATATTCTTTTATATATGTTAGGATGTGCTTATGTAAGGATATACAACAGTGGCGTGCCATCATTGGAAGTGGTGGAAGCACCGCTTCCCTTGTATTTTCTAAAAGAATAAATACATATTAACTTTAATTATATGAAAATAATCGCACAATATTTTATTATAACCGCATTATGTATCTTATTACAAATTTCTATACATGTGAAAAAAAAAGATTGCTACTAATATTCGAATATACAATAGCAGAGTGAAAGCGCTGTATTGTCAGCTTCCAAACAGCCAGATATGCACATGTGCTTTACAGAGCATCAACATCACCCGGTTTAGCTGGTGGGAGCCTAGGACCTCGGGTGGATACTACACATATAACACTTCCAATTCTATCCAGGACCAGTTCTGGGATGTTAGCTGCCTGCCAGCTAGATATTTGGCCACTCTTGCCCGATTATGTGCATCGTGAGTAGATTTATAATTTAACCCAACTGATAAGAATTTACTGGTATGTTTTTATAATAGTTCTGTATAGTTGACAGGAGTTAAAAAAAATCCATTAAAATATTTGATATTTTTATTCCGCTCTTCCATCTTGCATTACTTATGGATTTCAATGTTAAACCAGTAATATTACGATTTTGTATGTCCCATCTATAAAGGGATATAGAAAAAAATGTGTACAATTCTTGTACAATGTTAAAAAATTAACCGTTGCTTTGGTAGCATCATTTACAACTAAATTTAATGAATGAAGGAAATGCACAAGGTACAGAAAAAACTCTAGAATTTATTTTCCTTACATTTACGATTTATGTATTTGTTTGTCATAAAAATTTGTCTTTCCACTTTTTCCCCGAGACTACAAATATTAGAGTACAAAGTAACCGGTTTCGACTTATTTCTACTTAAGAAGTAGTTAAATAATTAAGCGATTAGGGAATTGGGGACAAATAAAACCCTGCTGAAAGAGCCAGAATTTTACTTAAACAAAAGCTTAACCGAGTACAGTGTGAATTGATTTCNAAGTAGTTAAATAATTAAGCGATTAGGGAATTGGGGACAAATAAAACCCTGCTGAAAGAGCCAGAATTTTACTTAAACAAAAGCTTAACCGAGTACAGTGTGAATTGATTTCATCGTAATATTAGATGTAATAAAGACAGAAATTTTTCCAGTTCAATGAAAGTGACTAAAAGTTGTAAATTTTGGAAATTTCCATGGACATCTGGTCCTAAAACGAATTAGTTAGAAAACAAATGACTATTAAATTTAACAAATTTAGATTTTTACAGCTATGGCGAGAAACGTTTAAAATGTACAACCCTGTCACGTCTTTTGAGATATACTAGTGATGCAACAAAAGAGGCATTTGACATTAACCTTGGTATTGGCACCCTCGGAATTTGGCACACACCACACACCTAACAAGACAGTCTCTGGCTTCATCCATGAGCCACTGGTAGGGAGCCATTTTAACTAAGTGGATTGTTTTAATATTTAAAATGTAAAGAATATTTTATGTTATTTTTATGTACGTTTCTTCACAAAACTATATTGAATTATAATTTCCTTTAAAAGTATATTCATACAATTGATTATTTTGTACCAGGTATGTATAATTGTATATCCATCACACATTTTATTTTAACAAGTAAGTTTTTATAATTTTATTTTTAATTTTAACCCTTATATTATGGCTAGCAATTTAGAATGTAATTCTGATATTGAAAATTTTTTTAAAAAGTTTTGTCTTGAGACCAGGTAATGAAAAAGAAAACATTATTAAAAGAGAAAGATCAATGTCTAAATTAAATATAAATACGTCAACAAAAAAATTTGTTTGACATTTTCACGATAAAATTTATGAAGATGTAAAATAGCTTTGTGGATGCATAAAAATGCAAAAATTTGTTTGTTAGCCTTGCCTATTATTTTCAAATGAAATTAGTGTGTGGAATAAGAATGGCTTTGACAATTTAAATAATTTGAGTCTTTTGCTGGCAAAAGACATGAAAATCATAAATCTCGCATCGATTCTTTCTTAAAATTGAAGCAATTTGGAAATCAAAGCAGAATAGAATTTAACATTAGTAAACAATATAAAATAAATATTGAAAATTATAATGAAGTTACGCTAATAGATATATTATATTTAAATTTAGTAGATGTTATCGAAACAAGAATTGGCATTTAGAGGGTATAGGGAATCTATTGAATCTAATGTAACAGAGGTAATTGTATTGAACTTCCTTATTTATTAAGTGCGTTAGATAATCTATTAATTAAAAATACATTTAGAGAAGTCTAGGGTTTTTACTGGCTTATCGAACAAATGAATATGAATGTACCCTAGACCATCACTGACTGACTGCCCCTGGAAATTGGCTTCTTACAGAAACAGTTTCCCTATCATCAAATGTCACGGCACGCCACTGATATACAACTAAACAATTACCATAAATTCCTGTAAATAATCAACTCTTTTTACATTGAATTTTAAACATGCAATAGCTGAATTATCTGCCAATTTTAATATACAATTACAAACTTATCCAACTTTCCTTTATCTAAATTTACAGAGAGTATATCTTTAAAAATGAAAAATCTTATTGTGAATTATATTCATTTGCCATCACAATTCTTTTGAAATCACTGAGACTTGTATAGGCATTAGTTTTTAGTTTTTTCCCTTCATTTTTTCTATCAATCTATGCTCTGATATTAGATATTCCTACTTGAATTTTTTTTATTGTGAAAATATATTTTTAATAACTTTTTCCATATCTGTATAATAACTGAAACAACCTACTTATATGCTTTGTTCTTTACAGTGAGTACAAGCCAAATGATTTACTCTCCAAGTAGAATCATTAAATATTATCAACATTAAACTTTTTCTATTTAATTTTAGTCTATTTTAATACTTTTATCAAAAATACAATAATTGTTTCATTTCTATTTTATGTCCTTTAAAAATTATTTGGCACTTAATGCATTTTAGTCAGTTCTGTCTCAAATGTTCTGTTTTACTTATTTTATAATCATTAATTCATTGTAGATATAAAATGAAAGAAACAGGAACTGCATAATTTTTGAAATGGTCTATTTTTGAAGCTTCAAAAATTTTTTTTAATGAATTTTAATATAATATACAGATTAAGTGCATTGTAACATCATTACATGCATGAGAAACAAAATTCCATTTGAATATGTAATGAGATGCAAATTATGCAATTAATATTCAAAAAAATGGCACAAAAATTGAATGATAAGACAACTTCAATACATTTTGTGATTAGTTCAGACAGTAGTACAAGCTGCAAATAAAGTTAAATGAGGATTTGAGGGATTAACTGCACATTACTGCAAGAGTGCAGATTGGATTTGTATAATGAAGGAAAGTTTTTTGTTTTGTTTTTATTCTTTCCATTCTATGAGCACTAAAGGATTTTTTTTAGTCATATACAGCCTGCAATGGGGACAGGCAGCTAGTAAAGGACTAAAGACATATCTGGGACACATTACCCCCCCTAAAAATTACTGGAGTTGCTCTCCTAAATTTGATTCAATTTTCTCTAGAGCAGTAGGCTGATGTCTAGGAAAGTACTGTATACTGGGACTGGCAATTTGTCTATAATGATATTTAAGTTGATGACCTGGATGCCAATTCATTAGGATTATGATATTACTATGATTGAGACATTGGTCTACTAAGTGAGATTTATGAAGGTGAATATTGACCCTTATCAATATGACATGATATCAAGAACAAAGACTAAGGAATAGAGAACAATAACATTCCAAAATTTTATTGCAATATATATCTGAGTTAAAATAGCTTTTGAGAAGTCGTGTGTGTGATATGCCACCCATATTGCTACATCTAAAACTGCCAATTTCCAAAATATGAGGTGATATTGTGTTTCAGGCTGTCTCCATACCATTATTTATTGATAATCAATTTGAATGTTAAATTGTGACTCATTGTAAAGAGCACAATGCTTTGACTTTCAATCCAATTGCAATGTCCAATTGCAACACCAATTCAAATGTGTTCTTTTCTAGAAGGAAACTAAAGGTCATTTTGCAAAGGCCATGTTCACACTGCTGGCAACAACAAGTTACTGTCATGAGACTTTTTTCACAAATATAGGGAGTTCTGAAGGAAACTGCTAAATAGGTTTTTATTGTGCATTCAGGAGCAAGTAATAATTTTCTAGATAAAACATTTTGCTATTTTGAAATGGTTTCAAAGGAACTTCCTTCACTCTTATTAATATTTAATCATTGGTCTACCTCTGATCTTACCTAAATTGGTCTATTGCTTTCCATTTCATTTGTTCACTCAAGTGAGATGAAAAACCATCATGTAAAGGTTTCTTGAACTTTTCTTTATTTCATATTGAGCCTTTTAAAACTATTTCCTTTACTAGTAAGGCCACATTCACACTGCTGAAAACAACAACAAAGCCAATGTTTTTATCATTTGTCTTTGTAAAACATTCACATAAGTTATCATTGATCTTTCATCCTTGTCATTTATCATTCAAAAGTTAGCCAAGATTCAACATTTGTCATTGTCATAACAGTATTGGCCAATCAATGCAAACTTCCCACAATTCTTTGAACAAGATGGAAGAACCACTAATCTATTGTTTAAATGAAGAAGAGGTTCTATGAAACCTAATAGATGGTCAAGAGTATTTGGAGACATATCAAAGAATTTTAAAAATTATTTTCATATCTGTTAATCCTAATTCCTGAATCTAAGATTCAAAATTGCCTTGATTTTTCCCTCAGTATGATGGCTATGATTCACAATCAACATTTTGATATTTTCCTTAACAAAAATAATAAATTCCACTGTCAACATTGAAGAATTAACATTTTACTGTTCATATCCTTTTTAAACCAGAGAAAGAGTCCAGTCTAAAAGTACAGAAATTCATGGAATTACACTAAGCCTAATGAAAATTGCACATGCTC